CAAAAGGAATTTAAAAAAATTAAAATTGACAAATTAATACTTTGTTGATTAATTTCAGTTTGCTGGGTGTTATCAGAGATATCACCCTTCCTCATGGTGCTAGAACGGTTGGGGCTTGTTTCAAGTTAATTCTTTTCAAGTTATTCATTGTCAAACTCAGAAACAAGAGCCACAGAAAAGACTTGCCCAAGTTCTCTGTTTTCAAGACTGGCATCCATTGGATGCTGAAATGAAAACACAAACCAAATGAGTTGTCCTCAGCTTGTCTTCTCTCCAAACACAAATGGCTTAACAACAGTCCTGCAGAGCACGGTAGGAAATCACTGGTGTAGGTTGTTCTTAATGTTTCCATGTACATTTTAAGTCATGCTGGGTGCTATAATAAACTTTACGTGTATCACTGTGTGCTAGCAATGCTCATGGCCTTCTGGATCCTTGACCACTGCCAGGGGAGCTGCTCTGCCTTGCAGCAGACCCTTCCTGGTTTGTGTCCTGGTGCTTACACATGTGCAGGTTTTGCCACTTCGGTGCTCAATAAAAAGTGACCAGTATATTTTTGAACCCTGCCTTGTTTCATTTGTGTGTTCTTGACATGGCTTTGAATTAGGGGGAAAAGGGACAAGTCTTTCAAATGTTAGCTGTTGGAATGGCTCACGAAGAATAGGCACAGGGAGAAAAATGTCATTTTGTCACCTGGAAGTAACAGACCCTCAAAACACATCTACCACCAGTGCCCCCTTCCAGAGAGGCCATCTTTGTGGGTCAGACACTCAGTTCTTGGTGCCTTCATTTCTACTGCCCAAGCTGAAGCTGATGGACAGTAGTGTAAAGAGGATAGTGATGGTGACCTAAGCAGATGGTGACTGTTTTATTTGACCAGGCGTTTTCCTTGTTGATTCAGAGCTGTTGTTCACTGCTGGGTGGCTTTCAGCAGCCATCTCAGGCAGTTTTATGGGAGGCCAAGGCCTGCTCCAAGGATGGGTAGGTAAACCAAGTAGAGGTCATCAAGCTGCCCACTGCAGGAAACCAGAGCTGAAAGAGGAGCCTGATACTGAGTGTTTGGGCTGCTGAGCACTGTTTTACCAGGATCAAGCAAGATTTCATCATCCCACCAGCTCCACCCACACTGGTCTTGCTCTACCTGTTCATCAGGAGTGGGCACAAGTCCTTCTGCATTGCTTCTCTTTCACCCTGCACTGACAACAGAGAGTGAAGCTGCCTGTGATGGAGCCAAGGAGGGAACAGCAATGGGTTTCATTGCTCTGGAAAGGTTTTCTGTGGGCTGTGAGAAGGCACTGGCTAGCACTAGGTCAGTCAGTGAAGTTAGCCTTGGGATCACTTGAACTCCTCATGGCAATGATCATATGGACTGTTTGGATGGGGAAATCAAGGATGTGTATGCATAATTCATGCCTCCTGCTGTAAAGTGAGAATAAGTAAGATTAGGTACATTGGCTTGCAAAATAAGAATCTATTTGGTGAACACAAAGTTATACCTGGATCTCAACTTGTTTCCATGTTAATGCATGCCAGTATAACTGCTGTTGATGTAATTGTCTTATGGTCTCCATGGAAGGAACACTGTGCAACCTAAGGCATCATCTGCAGATGGCACTGAAGTGCCGTTGGTGCATCCCTGAAACCAACCACTGGAATCAACAGGAGGACAAACATTGTAAGAGACCTCCAAAGAGCCAGAGGTCCATATTAAAACCCCAGCAGGTCAGCAATCTGCCCAATTTGTAAATATGAGAATAATAATAACAAATTACTCTAATTTTGACCTATTTAGTTCAGAGCTCCCTTGAGTTTTATGGTCCAAAAGCATTTTGATTGCCTTCAGGAAGATTTTCCATTGTTTTGTAAGCACTGAAGAAGCCTATGAGGTTGAGACAATCCATAGGAAATGCTTTGGAGACTGACAGTTTCTCTTTGCCTATTGCATGGCAGGGATTTGTTCATACAGAGGTTGTGTCCCACCTTACTTTGTCTACACAGGCTGGATCTTTCTCTGGAGGCGGTGTGAGGTGAGCAACAATTGTCTGTCTATGGCAAAAGGATTTACAGCATCATTTGCCATCCTTTAAACATAACTGAAAAGGACACATTTGCTGGTGAGTCTACAAAGGTAAGTCCTGTTTCTTTCCCTTACTTTCTCCTTCTCTTTACTTTTCTATGTGGACATAGTAGCAAGAACCAAGGCAGAAGCTGTGCAAAACAAAAAAAGACCTTTTCCAAGGTTCCAAAAGGTCAGTTTCCAAGGCAGAGATGTGGATGCTGGGGCTCATTTCACCCAGCCTGAGCTGCACCACCAGGTGAGTCTCTCAGAAAGCCAGAAACCAAGAGATTGAACTAAATCTCCCCTTTCTTCCTGCTGACACACTGAGGGACAGACCTAAGGCTTTTATTGACCCTGTGTCAGTAGCATTGACATAGAAAGGAACCATGGCCCAAATCTTTGCTCTTCGTTTTTATAACCAGGGCAGTGGATGTTCTGCCCAGAGGCCTGGGAACAAAAGCCCACCTGAAAGCAGAATATTGGGATTTTTGGGTAGCAGCAAACATTAAACTCTACCCATGCAACAGAGGTCTTTTCCCTCAAGGTGGCACAAGAGGAACGAAAGTGTGGCCAGCCCTGGTTATGGTGAGGGAAGCAGGTAAAGGAGCTGTGGGTTTTGAACTGAAAGCAGCCCTTTTGGGGCTCACACAATCTCAGATCATGGCTGCTTTGCCGTGTCTTCATAACAGATATTTGCTATTTAAAAGAAAAACAAAAGGTTTCCCAAATAACCTACTTAGAACTAGAGTTTGATATTGTGACCTTTTTATGCAATTAAATAGGAAATACCATGAAAATGCTGTAACTGGGCTGTGTGCTATGTTTCTATAGTGTGAAAATTATGCCTTACACCAGAATGAAGAAGTAAAACTTGCATTAGTGTTATTTTCTTTACAGTATAATCTTGATTCAGTTTATTCCCACCATTTTCTGAGCCACAAGACAGCAAAATACATGAATTTTCCATTGGATTGCCTAACAGGCTTTTCCCCAAAGCACCAAGAAACTTCAGTCTGTTCAGCAATTCTTCGGAATGCGTGGCAAATAGTCACAACAACTACATTTCCTTTCTGCCTTTATTCAGTTTCATTGGTGCTAAAATGTAATTTCACGTTATAGGACTGAGTGGACAGAAAGATGACAGGCCCTGAGCCCAAACTACAGTTTCTCTGGAGATGCTGGGTAATAAACCACAATGCATTGATTCTTATGGTGTGTTATATGCTCCTCAACCCGTATTTCTCCTATTTAGGTCCTGTTTGTCTCAGTGTTTTTGCTGAACCCCTCACTTACCAGTCCTCATCCCTGTGCAAGGCCAGGAAGGAGTTGGATGTGGATGAGCCCCCACTGCAGACATTCTGGATCTTGTTCCCTGGTTGTGTACACACACTGGGATACACAAGCAGCAGATTCCACAAGCAGCAGCTTTCGGCCAAGAGGAGGAAGTTAAACAAGGAAAGAGTCAGCAAGAGCCTGTTGCTCAATCAATTGTATGGGAGACCCATGCACTCCCATATGAGAGAGGCTGCACCACCTCACACAGCACAGAGACCCAGGAGGACTCCCCTTTCGCATGTGCTGGCTTCCTGGATGATGGGAGAGGGTTTGGGATGAGAAAAACAGGAATAAACCAAGGAAATTTCCTGGATTGATGGGTGAGGTTTTGGGGATGAGAAAAGCAACAACAAGGGAAATATTTTTCCCACCTCCCTAGAGAGGAGGAAGATGATTTTTTTTCCACTTTTCTATCAGAGGCACAGGGAGCTATAATTCAGTGAGACCCCAAGGCTAACACTACTGCCAACACGCTCAGAGGAACAGAAGAATGTATTTCCTTGCCAGGCAGTGCCTGCTTTGCCTTATCAAGACCAGGGCAGAGCCAGCTGGCTGTGCTCCAGATCCTTGCAATAGTTACAGAAGGAGGGGACCAGTTGGGAAGCATTTGTGAGCGTTACCATCGAATTCCCACACATTTTGATAAGGTCTAAATCTCTCCATACCCCTGGAAGCTGGGCAGCTTTTGAGCACCTTCCCGGAGCCCTGAGCAGGGCCTGGATGGGAGCTGCATTATCCCTGGGTATTTTCCCATGGGAAGGAGGTGTGTTGCAGCAATGCAGGAACTTCCCTCATCTGCCTGACGCATCCAGTTGGGGTCATTAGGAAAGCATTTCTCAACCAGGAGCCGAGGGAGTTAGGAGGCACCAGCTGTGCTTTATGAGAGCCCGGATATTTGCAGGGTGTTTCCCTATTGCTTCATTTTCTCAGTGTGGAAAGAAGCTGCTCCAGTGTGTTACCTGCAGCTGCAAGCTCCACTGTGATGGTGGGGTGTCCCACAGGGCTCTTCAGCTTCTCCTAGAGCCAATGGGACCCGGGAGATGCAAACAGGGAACAGTGAAACACCCCACATTTGGTGGAAGCTGGTCAGGTTTTGGGTATCATGCGCTGTCCCATAGGTGAGTGGTCCCATAATGGTCCAGATGTCACCTCCACATCTCCAGAGCTGTGAAGCTGGCACCTGGGTGTCCTATGAGAAAATTGTTCCCCTGGATAAAATTGTTGTTTGCTGACTGGGAATTACATTTAATTCCCTTGTGCAGCTTTTACAGTCAAAGGAGGACCTTAATCTCATAATTTACACCTTAGAGACAATTTAAGCCTCAGTGAATCCTGCAGTCATGATGCCTGTGGGAGGATGTAGGTGTCCTGGTGCAGACCGGAGCACAGTGCTCCCGAAGAGGCAGCTATACATCTTCAGAAAGGATGTCACTGCAAACTTTAGTTGCATACTGAGATTCACCATGGAAGAGCTCCCCTCTGGTGAATGAACCGTAGGGTTTATAAACGATCACCACCAATTCACACATTACACCCTCTCCCTGATGTAAATACTTCTAAATACCAGCGTCGTGCTGACTGGAGCATTTCACAAGGAGGATTTACAAACAGGCTCTGCAGTGTGTGCAACCTGTCCTGCCTCTGCACGCAGCGGCCTTGGCAAAACATCCTCCCTCTCTGTCTGCTGTGCTGGGGCACCTCCCGCATCACTTCTTCAGAGGGTAGGGAGGAAAACACAGAGCTGCAAGCCTTCAACCCGGGCGCCGCACAGGGACACCTCATTCCTGTACCAGCCACGGTGTCAAACACAGCTCCTGGCAGGGTTGGATGGGCGAAGCACCCTGCATCGCTGCCGAAGGGTGCGCAGCCTCCCGCCGGCACCTGCGGCTGAAGGCGTGACTTGGCAGCAGGTACACCTGCCTCCTCTCCCTGCCTGTGACCAGAGCCCTGTGCTGGCAGGGGAGCCAGAGCCGGTGCTGCCGGCAGCGGGTGGCACTGTCCCAGCGTTGCGCTGTGAAGATGGTAGAAGGAGGTTTCACCAAAGTCCTCCAGAAGAAGCTGTTTTTCCACCTTGCACAGAAATATCAGCCCCTTGGAAGCGGCGAGCCGGAGGAGGAGGAGGAGGAGGTGAGGATTGCCTGTGCCTCTTGCCTGGACCTGCTGAATAGCTTTGTGTGATTGGGGTTAAACTCTGATATGTAGTCTGCTTTGTCCCACCGGTAACTTGAGAGTGCTGCTGCTGCGCTCTGCACAGTCCCCTGTACGATGAGGGATGTGATTGATGATGTTTACCGGGCAATGGGGTGAGATGGGGAATTGTTGTTCCTAAGGGATACTCCCAGGACGGACAGCTCAGGCCAGGGTTGCTCAGGAATGTTGTCTTGTGCACTGAGGAGTTTCAAAATGAGCAGAACACGTAGGAGAGAGACTGCCATGCGGCTCGTGGGAGCTGTGGGAGGGTTTCAGGTGTGCTGGTGCAAAGCACAAAGACTGTCTCAGCAGAAGGGTAGATGGAGAGCAAGGCTGATCCCATCTCTAGGGGTACCGTAGGGGATGCGACCCCTTGGTCTTCTGTGTGGTCTGTGCAGTCATTCCTGTAATGAATGGCTGGGAAGACCTGCAGAGCCCACCTCAAAATAACACTTTTGTTCCTTCAGAAGTGCTGGTGTGCGAACGCTCACTTCCCCTTCCCTGCTTTCACTACCTCTCCTCAGAGCAGACGGATCAAGGGGTGGACAGTGGTTTTTAGGTGGCACAGTTGTCGTTCTCCTTGCTTTTTCACCTCAAAATCTTCAGCTATGGGATTTTTGCTACCACATTTGTTCAGCACAGGAATTTCCATTGCTTAAGCCCTGAGTTTTCTCTTATATGAGAGATTGGTTGAGTGCCCTCCCATGTAAACACAATTCCTTCAGCATATGGGGTTAGCCCTTAGTCCCATCCCAACAAGCACCATCCACACACTTACAGATGTTCATGCTCTTTTCCGTGACTGTCAGACTGAGGTGTTTTCTCAGATGGCATTTTGGTTAATCCTCTGCTCTCTTCTGAGTCTCATTTTTGCAGTACAGGGGTTGGACAGTGCTACAGGGAGAAGAAAATAAGGCATTGAAGTCTTACCTTGTGCACTGCACAGCACATTGTGCAATGCTGCTCTGAGCTATTCAAACATAGCTCAGAATACCAGGAAGGGAAGATCTTGATGAGGTTGCAGAAGGTGCCTGTAATCTCGTTTTGATGGGAAGCTGAGATTTCTGATAGGCAGGAGGCCACCAGCAATTAGTTTGCCTTGTTCTTTGTCAGTACCACCTCTGTTGAAGCACAATAAATAATGATACATATTTAATTCCAAATATGAACCCTTCTTGAATTGTTGTCTCCTCCATGCTGAGTGTGGGACGTTTTGGTGTTAAAGATGTGAGTCCAGGTCATCTAACGGAACTGAAGCCAGGAAAGACACCACTTGTGGGTTGTGAAGGAACAGTCCCAGTGATGATAGCTGCAAGGTGCTGCTGCTATCTGGAGATGGCAGAACAGTTAACTTTCACACTGAAGGACAAGCAGAGCTTGTGTCTAGACTCTGCTGTATTCAGTTTGAGCTCCTTTTCTACAGCCGCCCATCCACAATAACAGGGAAGTTTTGTGGTGCCAGTTCACAGTTTGTGAATCATGTTTTTCCTGCAGAAATCTGAGTAACAGCCAAAGATTTTCCTTCTGTGCATCCAAGAATGCATGTGTGTTCACATATGTGTGCACATATACATGTGTGTGCATGTGTGTTTGAAAGAGAGAAGAACCTATGCATCACAGAGATCACATCACCTCTTCCTTTTGGCCATGCACCAAGATCATCCCCTAGTATTCAGTGGACCCAGTGGGTACCATCAAAGGCAGATTTCCTGAGGGTTGCAACCCTCCTCTCCCAATAGCTTTTAACCTGCTGAGCTGGTTGGGTGTTGTCACACCATCCATGGCAGTTCGTCCATTTTCATACTGTGGGGTTGCCTCCATTGTCACACATGGTGCCATTATGAGAAGAATTCATCATGGAGATCCTCTGCCAACCCAGAAGATTTAGGGGCTGTGATTTAGGGGCTTTTTCTGTTGTTAGCTTTAGAAAGAGCTGGCTCCTACCCCAGGCACATCTGGGTAGTAGATTTTAGTGCATTACAGTTTTACTCGGAGTTTCTTCAGAGCTGCCAGGACTTTTCCTTTGCAATTGTTCCATTTCTCCTCACCAAAACCCTTTTGGATCCTTTCCCCCACAACACATTCAAGATTCAGCAGCCACAGGATGGAGTTCAGGTATTTCCCTGTTCTGCCCTAAAAAATTACTATTCCAGTTTAGGTTGAGGCTTTTTTCCATTTCAGGCTTCATACCAATGATCATTTATCTCCTGGAGACTTTCACAGGCTCCATATCCTCCTGAATACGTGGACCATCCTTATCAAAATAGTTTTGTAATCCTGCAGGTACCTATTTTCTCAATGTCTCCTTAGACTAAACGGTGCAACTTGCCTTCCACGTGAAAAAGGGAAGGACATTGTATTGCCTCTGTGCAGCACTGACAGACTTTCTCCTCCTCTCCTTTCTCCTCTCCTCTCCTCTCTCCCTCTTTTCCCTTTCCCCTTTCCCTTTCCCTTTTTCTTTTCCCCTTTTCCTTTCCTCCTTTCCCCTTTCCCCTTTCCCCTTTCCCCTTTCCCCTTTCCCCTTTCCCCTTTCCCCTTTCCCCTTTCCCCTTTCCCCTTTCCTTTCCTTTCCTGTCCTGTCCTGTCCCGTCCCATCCTATCCTATCCTTTCCCTTTCCTCCAGCTTCCACAGGCTTTTGAGCTGAGGGCTGCAGCACCCTCTTCCCAAGAGAACCTATATATAAAGTTGATTTAAACTGAGGCTTGGTTTTGGCCTGGGTGGAACTTGTTTGGGTAGGTGAGGAGGTTCCTCAGTTAGAATCACTGTTGGCTATGGGCTTTCCTGCAGCGATGTCAATGCCATCATTCAGCTCAAGGGGTTTTGCTTTAAGGTTAAAGGGAACTTGAAGATTATTTTTCCTTTAATTAGGAGGGGGAAGAAAAAGGTCATGCTTGAGCCAGAGGAACAGAGCAGAGGTGGCAAAGGGAGTGGGATTTGCATCTAAGGCCTTGCTCCCAAGGTCTGTGCACTGCCCACACAGCCTGACTCAGCCCTCCAGTACCCTTGGCATGACTTAAAATGCAGGGAATAGTTTAAAAGCAGCTTTTCCCAAAACCTCTTATTTTTTTTAACTATTAAAAAATCTGTTTTGAGGCTTTTACTCCAAGCAGCGGACCAGAGACTGCATTTCAAGTTAAAAAGCTTCAATGCTGCGATAGACGTGTGATGGGGATGAGGAAAACTCTATGAGAGGAGCTGAAACCATGGTCATGGGTAGGAAACAGCTGGGGGATCATATGAGGAAGCCCAGTGAGGCAGGCCCTCATTTGCAGGGCTGTGGTTTGCTCTGGGTTGGTTTCTGAATGCTGCCTGCAGCCCTGAAATGCAGTCTGTCACCTGCCCTGAGCACCAAGTAGAGCAAGGAGAAAGGCTTTTGAGGGAATTGTTTGATTTATTATATTTAAGTGTTTTTTTAGCAAGGATGAGGAATATACAGGAAAAGCGATTCTATTTAACGCTTTTAAAGGCTTCTTGTCGGGCTAAGTAACCCAGCCCACTTAATACCAGATTGCAATACATCAGCTGCTCCAAAGTAATCTAAGACAGGGGGGAAAGAATCTGCAAAACCTCGGTGAAGTCAGAGGTGGGGGGATAATACCCCAAGCACTGATCCGTTGAGCTGCTTGCCAGGGTATACAAAAAGAGCTATGTATTCTGCAGAAAGCCCTATGCATTCTTCCTTCCCACATGGGCTGCTTGATGGGACAATTGATGGATTGTTTCGGGATGAGGGATGCAAAGGCACCGGTGCAGGTATTGGTAGCACTGAGCCTGCTCCCAGCCACAAGCAGCTGTTCTCTACACCCTCCAATACCACCTGCTCTTGCAGAAAAATAGGTAAACTAATAATTCGGTTTATTTTACTTCTTCCTGCCCTGCTGTATGGAGCTGTGACCTCTTGTGCTTGAGCTATGCCCAATGGATGAAGGTTAAAAATGTAAATTGAGAATGTTGGCAGCCCACATCTGTTTTATAGTGTAAACAGAAAGCAATTAAGAAGGAGAGGTTACATTAAGAAGAGGTTTGCTCAGGGCACTGCCTGATGCCTAACAGACATGGGATGGGATGTGTTCAGGGGCAAAGGGGGTCTGCACCAGCAGCACTTTGTAGAGCAGGAGGGAGATGATGCTCCCCTGCTGCATTTCCAGCTTGTGCATCACTGAAGCTGTTCATCTGAACACATTTGTCAGAGGGAGATCACAGGCGTAAACTAATCAATGCAAATTAATGAGTCCCAATAAAGCTGTTAATTTCACAGCAGCCCCTGGCTGTAAGGAGCACAGAGCTGTCAGCATTCCTCTCGATCCACAGCCAGCGCTGGCTGCTTATGGCACAGCACATCCAATATGCTTTTGTCATTAATTTCCTCCACGCCTTTGGGAAGGTAAATATCAGTGATAGAGCTGGGCCCTGGCTTTCCCCACTGGCTCTAGGGCACTGCAGGCATGTTGCTGTTATGCCTGGGTCTTTTGCTACCCTCCAGCTCCTTTAATTGCAATTTCAACTCCTTTAAGCAAGGCTGCACCTTGACACCTGCATGTGTCACCAGCAGCACAGAGGAGGCTGTAAAAGCTGTGCTAATCAAATCAACACAGTAATGAGTGCAAGGTGTGTGTCTGTATGTGACAGCCATATGTTTTCCTTCCCAGCAAGTCCTTCCATCTCCTTAGGTTCATGATTGGCTCTCATTCTTGCAGCATCTGGGTGTCAACAAAGTTACAGGGAACTAATGGATTTGCACAAGTAGGATATACAAGTAGGAGTAAATCATCAGTTTTAAGCATGGAGGGGCTTTTTTTGTCCCTTCTAGGGATGTCTGTTAAGGAAACGCTGAAATAAGGGTGATGTCTGGAGGCAGTGTGCTTCAAAACAGCGCAGAAACACTGCAGCTTCTGGGGGCAAAACATGGCCACCAGTGTGATGGAAGCAGGAAAATCCTTGGAAGTCTTGGCTGGGATTTTGGAAAGGCAGCTTGCTCCTGGGGCAAAATGGCTCCTCAATGAGAGCAAGGGAGTACAGCAAACTTCTGCCTTTCTGCTGGGAGTGGGTTGGTGCTGGTATCCCATGTGTTAGCAGCGTTAGCTAGTGTGGACTAGCAAACAGCAATGAAAAGAGAGCTGCAACATATGGAAGTGGCAAAAGCCCGTTTAAGAAGGAGGGCTTAGAGATACTCATATCTCGTATACTACAAGCTCTCCAGAAGGCACCAGACAAAAACCAATTCCAGGTACCAGCATAAGCAAACAGCCAAAGAGGTTTTCTTCATTTATCCCTGGTTTTAGACTGCAAAACACTGGATGCTTCTAGAAACTTCCTGAATATTCAGAGACAGGCTAATTTTCCAAATATCACTTCAGGCACTTCTGAAGCCCTCCAAACCCTTGCTCAGGTGCTGATCAGTCGTATCTGAATGCTTTCCACAGCAAACTCCCCAGGGTTCTGGTAGCTGGTGCCAAATTCCTCCCATGCGGCAGAGCTGAGCTCTGCTGGGGACTGAGAACTAAGTGCTCTTGGGATGCTTTTCTAAATGAACACATTCTCTTATGCTTTATGAATGAAGGTAAATGGGAATGGATTTTCCTGTCCCTTGGGAAGGGTGAGATTTCTCCTTCTTATTCCACCATAGTAGTCACCTCGCCTCCATTCTAGTGCCTGGCTGAGATTTCAGGGGATGCTGCTGGTCTGGGAAGAGCGATTTGGAAAAGGAAACGAGGGATCTCAAAAGCTAAGAGTGGACAGTGCGGGTGGTGAGGCACTGGAATGGGTTGCCCAGGGAGGTTGTGATTGCTGCATCCTTGGCAGTGTTCAAGGCCAGGTTGGACACAGCCTTGTGTGGCATGGTTTAATGTGAGGTGCTCCTGCCCATGGCAGGGGGATTGGAACTTCATGATCTTAGGGTCCTTTCCAACCTTAACTATTCTATGATTCTATGACAGGGTACGGTGAGCAAGGCACAGACATTTGGCTGCCTGGATGGGGCAGGAAGGGTTTGTCCTGTTCACAGGTGTTCGCAGCAGGAGGAAAACAATGGAGGTGGGAGAGGAGACTTGTTTTTTCTGTCTCAGAGATCTTTCTGCTCACTTTTTCTGTTCATTTATCCTGACTTCAACAAGTGAAAAAGGCTTTTTTTGTTCTCTGAGCATTGGGCTGTGAGATACTGGTGTGGAAAAATGCCAATTTTAAGCAGATGCCAGCAGAACTCAGAACACTTTTCTGACCATGGCAGTGATGTGTACTTTTCTTTTTGGTAATCAGCTCCTTACAGCCCTTCTTCCACCACAGGATTGTGCACCTGGCTTTGAGGCTGTAATAAGGATTAATTAGTGAATGGTATAAAGTGTTGTGGTTTAGGAAGTGTTTTAGCTAACTGTGAAATCATACAGCTGGCAAGGTGAGGGAAGGGAATGGGATTAAGGGAAGAAGCAAAGAGATGCTAAAACGTTTTCATTGACTGTGCTCTCACCTAACAATTGCTTTATCTCGTTTATTCAGACCCATGAGGAGTGTGAGCTGAAAATAATTGAGCAGGAGAAGGAGGTGGCAGTTCTGCCCCCGAAAGACGCATGCAAGTGCCATAAAGAAGACTTGGCTAAAGCTTTAAATGTAAGGGGGGTTATTGGCTCTTTGTGAACATAGCAGCTCAGTCTGTGTCATCTGACTGAGCAGCAGGATTGGTCTTTGGTTTCACTGCTGGATTGCGCAGTCCCTCTGCCTTTACGTGGGATGAATCCTCATATTGGCTGTGTTTGAAGCTTAGCTCTGGGTACAGAACTTGTCCCAGAGAAGGATTTCATTGCAGTGAAGGGCTCTGTGAGCTGAAGGGAAAAGAGTACAATTGTCCAGCCTGGAAAACAAAGCACTGGTAGAGGATCCCTGGGCACAGGCTGCAGAGCTCAGACGTTCCAGTTACCAGCAGGTCCCAAAAGTGTGCAAATGCAGCCCTTTTCCCCTTTATTTCATAGCAGGTTTTATTTCAGAGGCAAAACTGATCATATTTATTGTCCTAGATGACTTCTCAAAAGCTTTTCATTGAAAGGCCTTTAACAGCTTGAATTATGAGGGAAAGCTATAATGATTAGTGATATTTTGGTGCCTGACCTTGCTTTTTTTAAAATCCAGGCAAAATAGACCTTAATCGTTCTCTATTTGTTTTCCTTGAATTTTGTCAGGGTATTTTTATTGTTATTTTTGCTTTAAATGTACAATGAAACCAGAAATCAATTCTTTACTATTTTTAGCTTCTTCTCATCTATTATGTGGATTCTCACTTATGGGATTTTTTTTTTTTTTCTTGAATTATTAGCTTGTGTTTACTTTATACTATTTTTTTGTGATGGCTGATGGTAAAGATTTACAGTTTAACCAAAATAAATACCTGAACTGAAAAGCAATGGATAGGTTTCTTTTTGGGGGGGGGGGGGGGTGACTGAGCCATGAGCACCTTCCCTACCTTACTTACAGGTTCTAAACATAACTTTGCCTTAAGAAGCTTTCTATGTCTATTCTATAATATGCAATGTTTGGTTGTTTTGTATTATTTTCCCTCCAGGTTGATCTGCAAACTGGACTCTCTGAGTGTTCTGTGCTGCAACGCAGGTTAAAGCATGGCTGGAATGAGTTTTCAGTAGAGAATACAGAGCCAATATGGAAGAAGTATCTGGACCAGGTAAGGATTTTCTGCACAGATCCTCGTTTCCTGGCAAAGACCCCTGTCTGGATTAGCCTGAGCGTGTCTCTGCATTGAAGTAGTCAGGGTTTCTGCTTCCACAGATTTAGCCTTAGAACAGGCTGTGCCCCTGGTACAGAAGCTGTCCATTCCCCCAGGGAAAGCCATTGTAAGACTCAGATGCAGGGTCATTTAATGCAAAGATAACATCTCAAAATAAGAAGAAACCTTTTTATCTTCACACAGCCCACAAATCAAAAGCTGTAAAGCAATGACCTGATTTCTGGAGCATTATTATTCCCTTTAAAGTACATGATAAAATCATGAAGGCTTGGGCAACATGGTCTAGGGTGAGGCGTCCCTGACATGGCAATGGGGTTGGAACTGGAGGATCTTAAGGTCCTTTACAACCCAAACCATTCTATGAGTCTATGAAAGGCTTGAGGAAAATCAGTAGTAGCTTAAGGTGGCTCTGATTTGTTACCCCAGTGAAGGAAAGCCCAAAACTCCCAGCAAAAACAGGGACAAGTACAGAGCACAGGTGGGTGTTAGCATCTCTAGGAGCAATGCATCAGTAACAGATACATTCATACACGGTGCCATGCGCAGTGGAGAACCACAGTTTCAAACCAGCTGCCCCAAAAGGCCAAGCACAAAGTGGCATTTGCTGTCTTGTTTTTCCACAGGTGAGTTATCCCTGAGTTTTGGTTTTGTTAACTGTTCCTTACCAGTATTTAATGTATCTTTTATTTCTCTTTTAGAACTTTTACCAAAACAGAAGTGTCTTTTATTTTGTTTGCTTATTTTCAACCATCAACTTGACTGATTTTCTTCTTGCTTAGCTGGATCGTGAAGATTTTGGTTGCTTTGAAAGGCTTTATTTTTATTTCATGGGATATCCCTTTTTTTTCTATGTGATCAATATTCTTTAAGCACCTTGCAATCATCACTAAATCTCTTCGAGCATAGGAAGTGAGATGGTGGGGTTTTTTCTGCTCTTCCTTAACAAGCTGTTTCTCCTATGGTGAAACAACATAAACTCTCTGGTGCATCTCTAATCCTTTCACAGCCTGTTGGTCTCTCTGGAAGAGCTGTTTGCAGTCCCACAGCATTCACACCTCTGCCTTTGAGCATCATTCCTCAGCAGACACTTGAGAGGGCTTCTTTCGGCTGCTGTTTCTGTAAAACATCCCCTTTTGTGCAGTGTTTCTAAAGAAAAATGAAGGGACTTCCACATTTGTATTCATCATGGAATAAACTTAAACTGTGGCTTTCCTACCATGCATCACCACACATCTGTTAGCTAAAACAGATAGTCTTGTCTTTTCCTGACTTAATTCCCTTATGTAAATTCCCAGCTAAGGAGCAGGTAGGAGAAAGATCCTTAATATCTGTGCTTCAAAGTGAAAACAGTGAGGATCTGACTCCCACAGCCCTGGGACCAGTATGGAGTTTAGAGGATTAACTCAGGGGGAGGGGGAGGAGAGAAATAAAAGAAAGGATTTCTGGTTTCAAATTCTAAGAAGACAATAAAGATTTTGTTTGTCCCTACCATGCCTCCAAGCAGCTCTTAGAGTCAGCCCTGTACTGTATGGCTGCAGAGGTAAGGCTTGCCTGTGCAAGCAGGGGAAAAGAGAGAAAACTTGTGTCTTTTGATGTGAGCCTTGACCTGCTGGTCTCTGACGCCATCCATCTCCTGTACAGGGGCATGACTGAGCATCAGTCTGAGTACAGGTGATGCACCCTCTCTGTTCAGGCAGAGGCTGCTGGCACAAGCAAGGAGGGTCCATGCAACCAAACCACTTTAATCCTTTCCAATGAGGCCAGCTCAGCTTCAACAGCTCCATATTTAATTTCATATTGCATTTTTCCCTTTTCTTTCAGTTTAAAAACCCCCTCATTCTCTTGTTGCTGGCTTCTGCTTTAGTAAGTGTCATCACGAAAGAATACGAGGATGCTGCGAGCATCACCATGGTATGTGGTACTTCTCCTGCACCCCAACCCTTGGCTCTCTGGAGCTGGTGTGTCCATCCTGTAATGCCTCTTTGTTCACAGGCGGTGCTCATCGTAGTCACTGTGGCCTTCATTCAGGTACGTTAGCCTTTTCTCCATGGCCAGGGCTGTCATGAGTGAGCCCTCTCATGTAACTTGGCTTTCTGCTTTCTTATTTAAAAGGAATATCGCTCAGAAAAATCTCTGGAAGAGCTTAACAAGTTGGTGCCCCCTGAGTGCAACTGGTGAGTCATGCCTGCTTCAGTGGGGGCTAACAGGGCTTGGGTTATGAGGGCAGAACTGATCAGAGAAAAAAGCTGCTCCAGGTTGTCATTCACATAAGGAGAACCTGTCCTCTGGTGGTGCACTGTGTGTGGGTGCAGCTCTGAGTCACAGCAGAAGCGGATGTAAACTCTGGTTGTTAAAGCAGGCACCCAGAGGAGCTGAATAAATGCTGGGAGACACAGGGGTCCCAGCAATGTCCCTCACAAGGGTCCCTGCAGCCTCCTGTGTGCCTCTCCTAGTTTGGGGAGCAGCCATAGGGTCTATCAGACACCACTTTCCACACTTCTTTGGTGTTTGGTGTCAGTGCTGTAGGTTACAGGAAACACTTTTCCTGTTTATGTCTTGGCATAAGACATGTCACGAACAACATGAATAAGCTGTAAGGCTCAGAGAAACTTTCCACTGCAAAAGAGCAATGGGGTTCTCTTCTGGTCCAAAGTTCACCCAGGTTTGGATTTTATAAAAACCACTGTATGTTCTTTTTTTATGCTATGAAACCATAAGAACCTAACCACTTGACAGTCTGTACTTTTAATACAACAGTGAAATATCAGAGGTAGTTCTGGCTTTAAAGAGCTTCTTTATAGGTTAAAGAATCTGCATTTCATCATTTAAAGCATGAGCCATGTCATTCCTATGGTATAAGACCTGTTGAAGTCACTTATTGCTGAAACGCAAGTCTTCCATAACCTGCCCATCTGTTATTTATGAACCCAAACTGAACACAATCAGATCTCATCTTTACAAAGGTTTTATGTTATTTTTACATTGGAAGCTCTTTGGGGCAGGGTTCTTGCTTTCTTCCCAGTTGCATTCCCAAGCCTGAGAAGGAATAAAAACCTCACAGCCTGGTTTCCATTCTTCTTTTTCCATTTGTTTCGTGTAGCCTAAGGGAAGGGAAGCTGCAGCACCTTCTAGCACGAGAGCTTGTGCCTGGAGATATCATTTATCTGTCTGTTGGCGACAGGGTTCCTGCAGACCTCAGGCTGATAGAGGTAAATACAGATATGCATGCAAGAGCCTGCTTTGGCAATTTCTTGTCTTAACAGTGCCAGAAACGTGTCTTTTTAGGTTACAGATCTGCTGGTAGATGAATCCAGTTTTACTGGAGAAGCTGAGCCTTGTAACAAGACTGACAGTGTATTAGTGGAAGCTGGAGACATAACCACACTGAGCAATGTTGTTTTCATGGGGACACTGGTGCGATACGGGAAGGGAAAAGTGAGTCTTGTCATCTCTGATCTTTTCCTCAATGTTTGTTACAGAATCTCTACATTTTTCATCTCCATCTCTCTTTTCCATCCTCCCCCCCCTTTTTTTTTTTTTAGGGTGTAGTTATTGGGACTGGTGAAAATTCACAGTTTGGAGAGGTGTTCAAAATTATGCAAGCTGAAGAGGTAAAGAAATGTGTGTGTGGAAATGGTGGGTGTCCTGAATGAAAGTTTGTGAGCAGGAGTGGTCCCAAGAATTAATTCACTCTCTTAATTCCTGTTTCTGCTACAAAATGACTGTGTCACTGAGGGAAACCAAAGTGCCTAAATCCAGGATTTAGGCTTCTAAATCCAGACACGTGATATTTAGCTGGAATCTAACCTTGTAGTCACCTAAACCTCATGGTTTCTTCTTTATTTCACACACACATACTTTCCATAAGGTATATATATATTTTTTTCACTTTTACAGATATCAAACATGCATTACCCAGTGCTGGACTCGATCACTAAGGTCTTCTCCAGATTTAGCCCTTGTTTTGCCTCTTCCTTGGCTCCCCTGCTGTAAACAAATATAATTTGTCTCTTCTCCCACTCTTTGGTCCATCCTGACTGCATTAAGGAAGAGAGCCTCTCCCTGTGCTAGGGTCAATGCCCATCAGCCTCTATTGAGGGTTTGGGGTAGGTAAGCACGAAGGTATATCAGGCAGCGGTAGGGACCTACTGTGTGGGTGAATTGTTCCAGACTGACCATCATCTCATCTCACATAACAAGCAAAGAAAAGCAGCTATTCTCTAATGTTTCCAGACTCCCAAAACACCTCTCCAGAAGAGCATGGACAGACTGGGGAAGCAACTTACTCTCTTCTCCTTTGGCATAATCGGTGAGTTGGACACAATGCTCACACTTGCATGGTCAACTGTAAAGGATCTCTCTGCTCCAGCCATTCTTCCAAAAGTTGGAAGTTGTTTACAACACACTGTTGAAGTGGTTTACTTGGACTTTTGGGGTTGAAGCAGAGGCACCTCTGCAAGAGAGATTTGGGGAACTCATTGCATGCTCAGTTCTCCAACAACAGCTAAAGCAGGTTAGACATTTATTAATTTCTTGAAGTATTTTAATTGTTTTTTCCCCATCAGGTTTAATAATGCTCATTGGCTGGTTACAAGGGAAGCATCTCCTTGGCATGTTCACAATTGGAGTTAGGTGAGGACTGGAGAGCACCTTTCCCTTTGATTTCTAATGAAACATCTCCCAGGGAATTCCCTGTTCAAAACAATGGCCATTTCACAAACAAGAACTTGAGAAAGACCCTTCATAAATATATATTGGTCTTGCACTGGTGAAATTAGTGTGAGTTTTACAACAGAGTTTGGGATTAAAAAAAAAGAACAAGTTTAAGGTTTATTTAATTTTGAAAATCTTCACTGGTATTTCTACCTCATCCCGCTGTGAATGTCCTTTCCTATCTGTGCTAAAGAATTTAGTGGGAGTGTAGCAACAGCAAATATTGCTCTTCTTTCTGATTTTACGTCTCAAGATAGGAATGAACATTTTATGCAGCATGGAAAGCACAACCTCTTAGTCAAACATAATAAATCATGTATTTTTAGTAGTACTCATAAAACCTGTTGTTTGGTGTTGTCATGGCTCTAAAATCATTCCTTTAATGTATTCTGTGGACAAAAAACCAAAACCACAAATGAGGAGACAACAGAGAAGCCAAACTGGCTCAGTGCTCTCCTTCCTGTATCCTTGTGGGATGTGGTGGCAAAGTGGTTACGCCTGAGTTTTGGAGAGCAGCCTGTGGTTTTGAAAGCCTTCCTCGATCGCTTTCTGCACATACCTAGAAGCGCTGAGAGTTACACAAGAGATAACTAAAAGACAGATACAGATAATCTGGATTCTTTTAGCATGTCAGGTGTTGCAGGTTTTGATGTTGCTTTGTTTTAGCATATGCAGGGTGATTCTACCCTGCCTTAGCTGTATCCACATGTAAGAGAGGAGATGAGGGACTGTATGTGGCCAGGAGCCAATAGCTAGCATATGAGCTGTGATGCCAAAGAACATCCAACTTCCATCCTCAAAAAGTTAAATAAATGAAATTAAATCCAACCATAAATAGCTAATTAGATAGAAATTAAAGCTCTTTGGCAATGTAAAGAAGAAAAGCTATTGCTTTGTCAAAAATATCCAAGAAGATGTCAAAGGGTTGTAAATGTCCCAGCGTAGGGAGTCCCAGTTGCTAGCACTGTATACTCCCATTCAGATACACAAATACAAGCAGGAGAACTCACCCCATGGAATGTCCCTTTGGCACATTTTGGTTGGTACTTGGTGTGACCCCTGTGTTGAAGCTGTTGTGTCTCTGCCATCTACAGCCTGGCAGTGGCTGCCATCCCAGAGGGCCTCCCCATCGTGGTCACCGTCACACTGGTACTTGGCGTTCTCCGGATGGCTAAGAAAAGGGTGATTGTGAAGAAGCTGCCCATAGTAGAAACCTTAGGTAAGGCTGTAAGACAAGGCATGCAGCTTGGTCATCTGCAGCCCTTCAAAATCTGAGCTGGATAGCAGTGGGCTGGCAAAGTGAGGTTTGGTCTGATCATAAGAATATAGATCTCGAGTGTTGCTTACTGGTCCAGAACAACCCACTCAGACTTAAATACACTTTATGTTCTCTGTTTCACAACCTTTTCCCTTATTTCAGTGATATTAACACAGGCAGGCACTAGCAATGGTGCATCCCACCCAATGGCATTAGCCTGTGAGGAGCAAGGCCCCTCCATGGATGTGCATGCCCTGCTTGGATTGAAAGGCTTTGTTTCTCCTTCCTCCCCATTCTGTGGTATCATCCTGCAGATCCATCCTGTCTGGATCAAAAACCTTGCAGCCATTCAAGTCAAGCCTGGTGGCATAAACAGAACCATTTATCCTTCTGCCTGTGTGGATGTGATAGCTTGTGTGACTATCTCCCTGATCTCCAGTCACAGAAAAGAGGGGACCTTGAGCAGACATTCAGCCCATCTTCACAATTGCAGGGCAGAATGAACTATAATGAAATTATTCTTCTACCTCCCTTTATCTTCAAATTGGCCCTTAGGCCCAGGCCTCTGTTTTCCAGGCTTTGACGCTCTGACCTTGGTCAGTATGGCAGTTATATGAAGGAGAAGACACACTGTGTATTTAGTACCATTCATTAAAAAGTACACAAAGTGCTAAGCCTGTCCCATGCAGTCACAAATACCTTCTGCACAGCCAGATCCTTCAGCTGAAACCTCTCTTCCTTGGAAATGCTGCTATTGTTTGAACTGCCCTTGTTTGTTCTGCGGTTAAGGAATCTTATCACCCTTGCTTTATTGTATCTGCCCTCACCCAGGACATCTGAAACCGCTTCTTATCTCATGAAGAATTTCATTCTGGTAGGGCTGCACCCAAGTAGGTGTAACTGCCAGATGCCTGGTGTTCTGCAGGACAGGCTGAGCACAGCAAAAACTGCACTCTCCCTGTTAAACCTCTGAAAAGGAGAAAAATAATCTTCTTGATCTGACTCTTTTGTTGTCAATAACTGAAAATGAAATACGGGAGGTGGCAGCTTTGCTCTGAGATAATCCTTTAAACTGCAATTAATTTAATTGCATCCAAATCTGCTTTATCCCGTCCAGGTTTTTAGCTGGTGGCCATCATGCACGTGGTCATCTCCAGAGCCAGGGGAGGTGTTCAGGCTTAGAAGGGAACTGGAATCTGATTCTTGACTTCTTGAGAGTGGAAACGAGCCTCAGTGTGGTGACTGCTGTATTGTGGTGTAAATGGGCCCTGGAAGAAATGTGCTTTACTGAACCAGGATTGTCGCAAAGCAGAGCACAAGTCGGGCAGCTCCTGCTCTTAGCTGTGGACTTTAAAGTATTTTGAAGACAGTATTTAACACATCTACCCTCACAATCCCTTGGTGAGACAGGGAAGGGGTGTTATTCCTGATTTAGGGAAGCAGGGGTTAAATGGCCCATCTGAGGAGGCAAGTAGCTGATACTGCAGCTTGAAAACATTTATAACTCTCCGGAAATGGGTGCCTTCTCCCGTTATCCACCATACTATGCTCAAGACAATGTGGCCCTCTTCATGTGTCTCCTATCACATCTCACATCCCAGTTATATGCACAACATGACATGCACTCAGATCCCTTCCTTAAGACACCTTACTGAGAAACATCAATTTCTTGGTATTTTCTCCCTTTTCCTACTGGTGCAGTTTAAGGACCTTTAGGGAAACACGTTCTCCCTCTGCTGAATCTCATTTTTCAGTTGCATTATTTATTAGTTCTGATTAAAAACTTTCCTGCATCAGGTTGCTGCAATGTCATCTGCTCAGATAAGACAGGCACTCTGACTGCCAATGAGATGACAGTGACTCGTCTTGTGACTTCGGATGGGTTCCAGGCAGAGGTATGGATGAGACGGTTATACAGACATTCCTGATTTGGTTTTAGTTCAACTAGGCCCAAGTGAGGGATACTAATCAGCCCTAAAACAAGCAGTTTCTTGCACATCACCAGTTCCATTCTCATTTTGCAGTACTGGAGACAGGCAGAGGTGGGGCTGAGTGTACAAAAGCTGCTCAGATACCATAAACAAACACGTTCATTGACATAATCTGCTGCTCTCTGCAATTACTGTAAATATTGAAACCTGCCACTGACCTTTGTGGGTCCATCTTCTGTAGAATATTTATTATACAAGTGGCTTGATACTTCTGCTTGGTCCATTTACCTGCATGCAAAGTGGGTGAAACTTCAGGCATACAGAATATGGAAATGCAGGGCAGTCATCGGTAGGGTAGGGCTTGAACAAAACTGGTGAACCCACTGCTGCCAAAGGGCTGGATCTCTCAACTGAGTTGCAAGAGAATTCTGAAATCACAGCAAACAAGTTCTGTGTAAGACAAGCTGATTTTTTTCTGTTCCTATACAACTATTGCAATATTATGTTTTCACTGTCTGCAGCCTTTCCTCTATGCATTACTTTGAGCTAGAAAGAAGTATCCCAGAAAGAATCCTTCAAAATCATAAATCTACTCAAGTATATTTTCTTGTAAACACATTTTATATACAATCTGTATACAGATTATTGTATACAGATGAGTATAGTTCTGCCTGTCACTGGGGAATCTACTCTGTCTGTCCCTTCCTCAGGTCAGTGGTGTGGGCTACAATGGAGAAGGAAATGTTTATCTTCTGCCATCAAAAGAGATTCTTAAAGAATTTTCCAATGTCTCAGTTGGAAAACTAGTGGAGGTACGTATAAACTATGAAACACTTTGTCCTATTTACATCCAACCTTCATTTGCAATAGATCAATTCAGTTAATGAGTGAGAGGAAAAAACCCACATTTGTAACTGAAAAATTGTGCTCCTGGAGCATGCATTTGGAAAGGCTTTGAGTAATTATGGTATATGAAGCGTATGTATGAACAGCAGCAATCATAACGCATGCAGGGAGAGACTGAGGTCATCACCTTAAAATGTCGATATTTTGGATAAAAAGACAATTCTGGCAAAGGAGACACAAATCCATTTTACCATGTTCATGTTTTTAATGTGGGCATATTCTAGACTTTAGCTAGCTACATAGCTAAATTATAAATGCACTGTGGCAGTCTCTGGGTTTTGTGTTAGCATTAAGTAAAATCTTGCACATTCAACTGTAGGCTAAAGTGAAGTGTTTGGGTAGTGAAATTATCTGAGCTGGAATCTTAAATGGAGATTAGGTTTATTTTATCCATTCTGCACATCAAAAGCAATAGTGGGAAAGACTAAGGTTTCATTTTCATGACTTACTGAGTTCATTAGACATATATCATGTTTTGATTGATATTATTCTATCCAAAACATGACATTTTACCAAATATTGGTGTATCCTCCCATGGGTTTAGAAAGCACAAGAACTGACATCAAAAGATGCTGCTGTGAGGAATATCACATATTTTGGGATGTGGCTGCTTTCGTTCTCCAATCATTCAATTTTCATTAAAAAGAGTGAAAAAGCTATGAATTTGATTATGAAAAAAATAAAACATGCAAATATGCCCCTTTCTCTAGGCTGGCTGTGTAGTCAACAATGCCATTATCAGGAAAAACAGTGTGATGGGACAGCCCACAGAAGGAGCTCTCATTGCCCTTGCAATGAAGGTAAGGTTGAAAGGAGCTGGAATAGTTAGGTCTGACAGCAGGGATCAGATTTCTTTAAAGTCCCCAGACTGGTTTTAGTCTTTCCTTGTCTCCTCTGCCCAGGGCATAGACTTACACCTCTCCTGTGTAAACGTCTTGTCATAGACAAACACCTTCCCTGGCCTTCTGTGCTAACAGCAGTAATTGTTTTGCTTCGTTAATCTCTGCAATTAAGCTGCATGATGGATTTCTTTTGGACTCAGACTGGACTGCAGTTTCTATATTTTCTTCACCTGCAATTAAGAGCTGAGGAGGAAGACAAGAGAGTGAAAAATGACTAAGAACAGGCTGTACTAGAAATAATGGCAGAGGGTCATCCTCGATTTGGGTCATCTGCTAGCTTTTACTTTTTTCTAGTTGTGATTATGTAAAACAAGGTGTTTATGAATATTACATTCATGCTTGTAGGCAGAGGGCTGTAAAATGCCTCAAAGTATCATCTAATCAATGTTTCACAGCCTGTGGTCCATAGAACTCAGGTGGGCTGTAAAGCACAGAAGGTCCCTGGTGAAATGATGCGCCTGCAAACATCTGCTCTTACCTCCTGTTTTTAAAGCCTGTCATGAACAATGAAACCGTGATTTTATTTTTTTTAACCATGACATTTTATTTCACTAGTATTTTATATGCTAAATTAAAATCTTCCTTTTGCACCACCATTCAGTAGCAAAGCAATAGCAGAATACAAGGGACGTTGTCTCTTTTTCTTCTTTATCCTTTTTTTGGTTTGGTGGAGCTGGGAGAGAGAAAAGTTGTTTCTGATCTCTACCTCTTTACCTAGAGCACCCATGCATGCTGCTAAAGCAGGCATGTATTGATTTGAACTGTTGTACTTTAGAGCTGAAGGGTCTTCTTGTAGTGAATTGCTTTTTGAGTTTAATCATTCAGGAAATGATTTGAAACTTCATTCATAATTGACCATTCAGTTATTTGCACATTTCCTTTTTTCTTTCAAATTAGGTGGCTTGGAAATAACTGAGGTGGGGGAGCATGAGCTTGGGCTGGAAGAAATCTGCTCTGCCCTTTGTTTTGCCTTTGGTTTAGGGAAAGGACTTTAGCCTCCTTTGACCCAAAGCCCCACCAAGACAGCAGTGCAGCTCCCCAGTACTTGCAAAAGTCAACAGGGATCAAGCTTCAAACTCCAGTTTAATTTACCCCACACCAAAAGGAAAAGATGGATTTAAAATATTAGTTTTACTCTCCCCACACCTCCTCTTGAGCTCTGTGGTATATGACCGCTGGAAGCACATGCAATAGTCATGATTGTAATATGGAAAATGTATATAAGCTTTGGCACTGTTCTACATTACAGTGCTCTTTTTGTTTTATTTTACTTTAGATGGAATTAGCTGACATAAAAGATATTTATGTAAGAAATAAGGAAATTCCATTTAGCTCTGAACAGAAGTGGATGGCTGTGAAATGCGCCCTGAAAAATCAGGTAAAGCAAACAGTGGTGTTGGTTAGTTTCATGTTTCTAATTGTGCCTCTGCAATGGGCATGAAATGGTATCTCTTTAGCAAATAACGTTTTCAGAACTTAAAACTGTGTCAAGAGAAAACTGAACAATCCTCAAAATTCCCAACTTGGGTGTAATTTTAGCTTGTAAAAGCTGTGTTCGAATGGGAGAAGATAATACTTTTCATACAGTGTTCTGAGCAGGAAAACAAAAGCTTTTCAGACAGGTGAAGAAAGACACGATGTCTGGACGAAAATGTTGATTGTTTTCCTTTATGGGGCTGAGGAGCTTATTTTGACTGATACAATATTCAGGTTTAAAAACTCACCAACTTTTTTATTACCATTCTGTCTATGATAGCTGAACACGAAAAATGGCTAGAGCAAAAATACCACATCCTATAAATAATACCTGCACTTTTGCATTTTATGAAGAGGTAAAAGAGCAACAAAGATCTTTCTTACTGAGGATGTAAAGCCTTACACATTATCAGTGTTTTTAAAGTGTGCTCTTTTCTTTCTTTTTTCAATAAAGTATATTATCTCCTTACTTTAAAGGATCAGGATGATATTTACTTTATGAAAGGAGCATTTGAAGAAGTGATTCAATACTGCTCTCTGTATAACAGCGGTGGCATCTCGTTATCACTTACACCCCAGCAGAAAGCCTTCTACCAGCAGGAAGAAAAACGAATGGGCTCCTCAGGTCTAAGGGGTCAGTCATTACTGTCTATGTCCCTTACACTTACAGGTTATCTGCCCTGATGCTTTCCTGCTCTGTTTTGGTCACTATGGACAGAGGCTCAGTCCTTAGCAACAATTGCATGATCTCTTCATCATGCTTGTCAGATTTTGCCAAGGGCCATGTCTCAAGTCTGCTGGGTGCTTGCTTTCCAATAGCCTTTTTGTTTTCTGAGTTTAAACTAGTGAGATTGAAAGGAGCTGAAAGTAAGCATTGGAAATGGTGAACGTTTTTTCTTCCACAGAGCACTGTGATTGCCTGGGATACAGTCTCAATGGTGCATTGAAAATCTATGTGCTGAACCCGATCTAAGCACTGCTCTGCCAAGTTTTGCTTTGGAGAAGCTGCTTCAAAAGCAACAAAAAGGCAACTCTGAAAAGGATTCAAAACATGGATTTGGGCACAGAGAGTTTTATTTGAAGTTTGGTTCAATTCCCTATTAGGACCAAATCTAACGATCTCCTTTTAATCTTGACTACATGTCATTGCAGCCCACAGAATTTTTTATATGTGTGTCGTTTCCTTCCCTTCATTGCTAGAAACATCCTTTCAGAAATGCCTTAGACTTTCACACAATTACAAAGACACCATCTCCTGTGCACATTCCCAGTGTGTAATAGATGAGAACAAGTCTTGGCAGACGCTCTGGAAGATGGTATAGTTAATGTACATATTCTCTAGCCTTGTGTCTTGCGGTTAGTAAATCATGTGCAGAGCTTGCTTTGCAATATCTGAATCATCTACCACTGTGAATGGCAAATTACTGCTCTGAAGAAAAGTGATTAGCTCAGGCAGCTGCTGCAAGCTGATGATTCAATCATCAAAGCAACACTGACATGAACCCCTGGCATAATATCCTTGAGTGATTTGAGAATGATTGAATGATACGGTTAGGCACCGAGAACTGAAACAAAGTGTTCAGAGCCTTGACGTTTGCATGATGGAAGTTTCACTGGTTTAACTGAATTCACATTTTGTATTTTTCAATTAAAACAAAACAAACAAAAAATCTCAGTTTTTACATGAATGCTATTGTTTAACACAGCAATCTAATAGTGTCTAGTCTAACATTGCACTGTCCCAATTTAATCCATCTGCATTTAAGGAAGACTTGATGGACAGCTTTAAATTAGAAAGAAATAAATCCTAAGACAACCATGTGGAACAGAAATGCTCCAATTCACAGGAACTACAGTTAATTGATTGGACCAAATTTGTGTGTCTATGCAAATTCTGAATATAATGACTAAAGACCTGGTTTTAATTACTTCCTCTGCTGGAAAACTGGCAATTTAATATCTCATCTAAATGTTGATTTTAATGTATGGAAATGTATTATTAGTAATTTAGTCTTGTCTTCTTTCCCCCCCCCCCCCCCCTCTATTTCTAGTACTTGCTTTGGCTTCAGGTCCAGAACTTGGCAAACTAACATTTTTAGGTCTGGTTGGAATAATTGATCCCCCAAGGGCTGGAGTGAGAGAAGCTGTTCAAGTCCTTCTGGATTCTGGTGTATCAGTAAAGATGATAACTGGAGATGCCTTGGAAACTGCTGTGGCTATAGGTAGCAAACTTAGCTTCTTTCCTGTGGGTCTACAGGATGTCCATTAGATCAGTCAAATGTTATGTTCCTTAATAATCAACTGGTTCTTTCTTTATGTGTACAACTGAGGTTTTAAATGCCACTAAGTTCTTGCATTTCCATTGAGACAAATCATATGAAATGCAGTAATAGAGCAGCTATGAACTATGGGACAAATTCCAGTAACTTAATTCCACTATTTTAGCACCAGAAATGGAGAAATCTCAGCGTAAGACCCTTAACTGAAACAGATGGCATTGCCGGGATTTTACACGCCAGTAATATTAGGAGCATGAGTATCTCTGTGTAATATTAGGAGCATGAGTTTCTCTGTGTTTTCCACTTTTGCTTTTTGCCATTAGAAATACACAGAGCAAGCAGCAGAGAAGGGCCTAACAGATTAAGTATCAGCTTTAGTTCTGAGTATTTGACTGTTTCCATAACTCCAGCTGAACAAGGACAGGGTGACTGACCCACCTCAGAGCCCAGAGAACTATGTGCCTTATCAGATGCTCTAGGATCAGATAAATTTCCCAGTAAATTCTTTAATTGCTGCTGCTGTTCTTTGAGTCAGAAAATAGCTGGCTTTTCCCAGAGCTGATGGGCAGATCTCATTTTGGTGTTTTCTTTCTAGGGCAGAATATTGGTCTCTGCAACGGAAAGCTGAAAGCCATGTCTGGGGAAGAGCTGGACCAACTGGCAGAGGCAGAGCTATCATCCACTGTCAAAAATGTAATGGTTTTGATTACAAAAACCAGGCCTATTTCCAATAGCAACTGCCTAACACAAGATCGTATTTTTTGTTTTTCAGGTTTCCATTTTCTTCAGAACAAGTCCAAAGCACAAACTGAAAATAATAAAGGTACTAAGCACCTCTTAAATCCATTGTATATCTCACTAAAAGAAGATGTAAGGGGAGGGAGAGAGGAAAGAGGGCAGCTCAGTTTTGGCATCAACTATCACTGAACGCATCAACATTTTTCTTGCAGATCTGGCCTGAGTTATTTGAAAGACACTAGTGAGATATTCGCAAGCATAATATCAGAAGAATTATTTTTGAGGACTTTATTCCCCTCTTCTAACTCCTGCTGGAGTTTTGTACTCCTGAAAATCCAGTCTCTTAATTTGTGGTCTGAGTTCCATCCTCAGCAGGCTACTGAGTCTGCTTTACTGTCAAAGTCACATAACACTTCTACTATTTCAATATTACATTCAAATCTTGCTATTGCCAACAGGAGTTATCTCCTCCTGGCTTCAGAGCCTCTCATCTCTCCACTCTCACAGGCTTTGCAGAGGGCTGGTGCTATTGTGTCAATGACAGGAGACGGTGTTAATGATGCTGTGGCCCTTAAATCTGCTGATATCGGGATTGCAATGGGACAAGCTGGTACAGATGTCAGCAAAGAGGCTGCCAACATGATTCTTGTGGACGATGACTTCTCAACAGTAATGTAGGTTCAGTGACTTTCTTACTGTCAGACACTTTATCACTTCAGATACTTTCTGGCTATCCATTGCAACAAGTCTGCTGTGTGACTAGCCCTGGAAATAACACAGGACGCAGGACATGCAAGTCAACAGGCAGTAAGTGGAGACACCTAGTGTGTGTCTGGCTCATTTTCAGTCGCATACACGCTATGACTTTTGTTTCAAGTGGTGATGACAAAGCTACCTTTCATCTGAAAGCCCTGGTTTCATTGCTGTAACTAACTGGGGATTTGAAAGCGCCTGGAAGTCTGGGGAGATCATGACTTGTGCTCTCTGCCTCGTTCAGGAAACTCAGAGTAAAGACATAATTTGCAATGCTCTGCTGGTTCACAACGACAGAGGGAGTAAACAGCCTAGAGTGAGGCTATAAATAAGCCACAGGCTTGCTTAATGATCCAAGACCAGGCCTATGAACCAGGTTTTCAGATCAACTAGTTCTAATAAAGTAATTTTAACCAAGAACCTGCACTGATATCCTCCTCCTGAGCCAGGGTCAATTTCAACTGAAATTAGTGCTGCAGAAGGCAACTTGCATTTTGAGTGTCACAGGAAGCTCAATGCAAAATAACATGAGTACTGGTAATTTAGTAAACTCTTCTCTCCCTTCCAGGAATGCAATAGAAGAGGGAAAGGGAATATTTTACAACATAAAGAATTTTGTCCGGTTCCAGCTGAGCACGTAAGTTCCCGTTTGCTTCTATTCCAGTGAAAGCACCTTCTTGGTGATGCCATGCAGAATAATGTTCTTCTGTGTTCTGCAGGAGTATTTCAGCTTTGAGCCTAATTACTCTGTCAACTGTGCTCAACCTACCAAATCCACTCAATGCTATGCAGATCTTATGGATCAACATCATCATGGATGGGCCACCAGCCCAGAGGTATGGAAAAGTGAAATGAGCAAAATGTTCTTGGTTTTAATATGCCTTTAGGCAAATTTATTTGGCTTAGAAACACAAGCTGTTATGATTTGTTATCAATGTGCCAATTCCAGTAGTTAGATAAGTTGTACTTTTGCTCCCTCCTGGTCTCTCCAAAAGCATTTACTTCACATTTACTTGAGGTTTTACCTGTACATGTCAGTGGTGGAATCAATTATTCCATTTTTTGACTAGGAATGGTCCGTTATCCCAAGTGCATCACCTGCTTAGTAGTCCTGCAGGTCTGACTGGCAAGGGAATACTGGCTACATGCTGGGGTATATGCCCCAAAATCACAAGACATGGGAACCTCATCCAACTGCTAATTACAATTACTACTTCCACAACATGGAAGAGATTTTTAGCCTCAATCTCACAGCTAGTTCTCCCTCTGGGATGGGATACTGATGTGATGCACTGCCTTGGTCTAATATAAAGACTTTTGGCACAGGTGTTGAGGACAAATTTGGGACATTATCTAATCCTCCCAGAATACTCCTGCTGTGCTCCAAAGTATCACATCCTCCAGATTCATCTTGTTTTATCAGCAGTACTATTTTGGGATGGTCTGCCTTAACTAAACACATTCCTCTGCTTCTCTTTGTGGCAGCCTGGGAGTGGAACCAGTTGATAGGGATACTATCAAACAGCCGCCCCGACGTATCACAGACACTATACTCAGCAAATCACTGATCCTGAAAATCTTCATGTCAGCTGTAATTATCATCAGTGGAACCCTCTTTGTCTTCTGGAAGGAGGTGAGGAAAATCTGCAAAAGGATCTTGTTTTCATCAGGGTGGAGGACAAAATGAAGGGCAATTTCTGAAGTACATGTGAAGGACTTTCCAGTGGGGAAGGATCAGAAGGGAAGAGGGTTAAGAACCCAGGGTAAGCTCCTGGTTCTGCTTCTGCTTTCCTGCATTGCCTCTAATTTGGAGGTTCCTATCTAGAATGGGAAATCTATTACTTGATACAGTATCAGTGCTTTAAGGTACTTTTCACCTCCAGCTTCTCAAGTATGAAGAAAATGCCAAGTACATGATTACTATGGATTGCTGTTAGTAAATACTGGCTGTCACTGTAACAGTTCAAATAATACAATTTAGAATATTCTTTACAGAAATTCTACATCAGTTTAAGAATTTAAAACTTGGATGATAAGATCATTACCTCAACAATTAGCAGAGAAAAATTAGCACTACCTGTAATAGAAATACATTTATTCCTTTTTTTTTTACTGCCCCTGTATTTGACTGGGATCGTTAAAGGAAATATTTAAATCATCCATTGAATTGGCGTATTTTTATAAGGCTTAACTAACCCCTGAATTTATACATGTTCTTTCAGAATCCAAAAGATGGCATAAATCCTCGAACCACGACAATGACTTTTACCTGTTTTGTATTTTTTGATCTCTTCAATGCCCTGACATGCCGCTCCCAGGTAAGACTACTCTGTCAGCGATAATTCCTTGTTTCAAAACACTAACATAAACATTATAACACTAGTATTTTGCATAGGAAGGGGGTTTTTAATGTCATTTGAAGCAGCATGATTTTTATCATCTCTATAAATAAAGGTACCCATTATAGTTCAACTGCAACTACACTTCCAACTATGTAGCTCTGCCTAAGTTAGCATGTAACTTCAGAAGGTAACGGAGTTTACGTGCACAGAAACAGGGTGACATTCCAGTACCAATAGGAGATTGGGAAATGTTACATTGCTCATTTTTTTCCCTCCCTTCTCTAGACAAAGTTGATATTTGAAATAGGCTTTTTTCGAAACCGCATGTTCTTGTATTCTGTGCTGGGATCATTTTTGGGACAACTGGCTGTTATATACATCCCTCCACTACAAAAGATCTTCCAGACAGAGAATTTAGGAGTGCTAGGTAAGTTGCAAAACAAGTAATGTATATTTCCCATTAAAGCTATTTTTAAAAGCAGATGTGATTGATTGCCAAACTGTTACATGACAGCTCCGAAAAGACTGCTGGTAGGGGAACCCAATCAACAGCTCCGATGCTATATACATACACAAAGCTAAACACAAATAGCAGTAGTATTTAGTGATATTATCCCTGCCCATGTTTTGAATTTTGATTCACTGCACATACATGCATGTAAATAGAGGCCTGTGAAGGTTTTTCATGAGCTCTCTATGATGATATTTCCCAATATAATTCTATCTAGGATCATGATGCAGCTAGTCCATTTTGAAAAAGCAATGGGAATGTTTTCTAGCTGAAAAGCAACATATATTTTACCATTTGAATCAGACTTATGCAAACTACACACACTGTATTCCATCTGCTTTAGGTATGTAGCTAAAAGGAGGGTTCAGTGATCCCAAATGATTAATGCAGCGGCTTCACCTACTAACTGGACTATACCAACCACGGGTATTTCTTGTCTACCACTGTCATATAATTCTAAAGCTAGGGAAAGCATAGACAGGGTACCCATCTATGGAGTTACACTAGCACAAATATCTGCTGTAGGAAAGCTCTTACCTAGGGATCCCTGCCCAGCACTAAATCCAGCTGTGCTCATCTCTGCTCTGTTTCCTCTCGGCAGACCTGCTGTTTCTCACTGTACTGGCTTCCTCCGTTTTCATCGTGTCCGAGCTCGTCAAACTCTGTGAGAAACACTGCTGCCAACCAAAGCACACAAAGAGATGTCATAACTGATGCAAACATCCTCTAAAGATACACTTGAGACCAAGCTGTGATGCTGGATATTTGAAATGCAAAGTTTCTGACACCACACGTCCTTTCTGAAGATACTCCAAGTGAATCTGTACACCACAGTCTGTTCCTTCTAATGCTTTACCTAAACTCTTTGAGCTGTCTACAGAACCTCCAGAGCAGCTCATGTTTTAAACCAAGATCAGGTATACTTTTATAACACTGATCTGTATCTCAAGAATGCTGTGACAGTCCTACATAAAATAACAGAATAGCACCTCTCCTATAAGAAAAAGCTGAGAGTCAGGGTTGTTCAACCTGGAGAAGACTCTGGGGATACCTTATTGCAGCCTTTCAGTCCTTAAAAGGGGCCTATAAGAAAGATGGGGATAGATTTTTTTTAGCAGGACCTTTTCCAATAGGATGAAGGGCAATAGTTTTAAACTAAAAGAGGGGAGATTCAGGCTGGATGTGAGGGAAAAATTCTTTACAATGAGGGTGGTAAAACACTGGCCCAGGTTTGCCCAGAGAGGTGGTGGATGCATCATCCCTGGAGACATTCAAGGCCAGGCTGCAGGTGGTTCTGAGCAACCTGATCTAGTTGAAAATGTGCCTGCTCATTGCAAGGGTGGTTGGGCTAGATGAACTTTGAAGGTTCCTTCCAACTCAAACCCTATGATTCTATGATTCACACCTGTACAGAAAAATCCATTGTGCATAAACTGCAATTTTATTTATTTAAATCAAAATGGTTTGTATTAATAAAATCTACATTTTAAAATGTTCCTGACAAGTATCTGAGACTCTTGATTTAGATCCATTATTTTATATAAAACTAGAAGAATGGAAAAGTCCTGCTTTCACTAGCATTTCCTTTCCTCTAGCCAGTGTTTCTAGATTCCCAGATGCCTGGCCTTGATTGAGAAAGATTCTCATGGAAACTCTGGGGAAACGTCAAACAAAGAGTAGAGAGAGACAGTAGAGGGCTGAAGCAGATAGCTACAGTGCCAACCCTGGGCTGACAGCTTTTGCCATGCACTTGCAGTGATGTGACTAATAGGAGGAGAGTGGAAAGCTGATCTGATGCACAGCAGTGGACAGATTTAATGGGGAAGGGACTCGCTTCAGAAGCACATTAGAATAAAGATGACTCATATACGTAACAGGGATGTTAATCTTTGCAGCTGGATCAGCAGCTGTGTAAAAGTGATTGAGAGATGTTTAGTATAGCTAAGCCTACTGCTGGCAAATGCTTTCTGGGTGGTTTTAGATGCATGAACATGAAACATTTTAAACATTCAGGAGGGAGAGGAGGAAGAAAAAAATATTGGGTCTCTTCTGAGTCACTTTTTTTATGTTTAAAGAACAATTTTGAATAATCCCACCTGCTAGTTCGATCAGTAGTGTCCTAGTAAATAATGCTTCACAGATATATTTGCTAAAAGTGCCATTAGTGTCAGTTTTCTTCTTGCCCCATGTTAACACCTTCAATTCAAAGTGAAGTTGAAGAGACTTAGATACAAACTTGTCTAAAAAGCACCATTTCAGAGGTCAAAATGCTACGCTGATCATCACAAAATGTTTAAAGAGGATGATTTTGGATTCACAGCCTATAAAGAACTAACTATACTAATACGCACTTTAAATGCAAGAAAATCTGGCCACTAAAATATTTTGCTGAAGAGGAGCTTTGTGCATTCAGACTCCTCAGATACAGTCTCCAAAGGTGCCTGCTCACTGATTTCTTTTAAATCCTTGCAAATGGTTTCAGTCTCTGCCTTGCAATGGAAAGAAAAGAAAGTCTAGTTGTTTTTATTTCCTGTGTTACTGCAGAAATTCAATTATATCTCATTCCTGTACGTCATCACTTCAAGTATTCACTATGTTTAGTCAGTGCTTGAGTGAAGAATACCTCTGAGACTTATGGTGAGAGTTTGAAAATGTTAAAACAGAAGCCAGCATCACCACCCTTAAAGAGATCATTGTGTACTTACTTGCTGTCTATATAGCACTCCCTACTTTGTACCATTTGAAATTCTAATTAAAATATACAGACAAGAAAAAAATACAGAAGTATCTGTAATTATTTTAATACTTACATTTTTTCTATGTGTTACAAACTTAGTAGACCATCTGGTTCACTTAAGCAAATACAAGACTAAAGAACATTAATTCAGGCCTTTCACAGCATACTCTGTACTAGAACAAATAGCATATATGCCCCAATCATTAGTTCAGGTAGCATACAAAATGCATAGTTGAGTTCCAGGATGTCTGGCTGGATTGATTTCTTCATGCTCTCCTTTCAAGGTTAAATTCATATTGTTTAGTAGAAGTTTTAAAAATAGGATCTATATTAAGGCACAACTGCAGATTATTCAGAACATTACAATTTGGCTCCCTATGAAAAACATCAGGTGGAAAAAAAGGGACTGCAGTATTTTATAGACAGTTAAAACACTTTTTTTTTTTCTAAGCTGCACTGAGAACTCATGCTAGGACAAAGGAGATTCTGTAAGGTCCTTTTCCTTAGGAGGAGGAAGACTGACAGACATACAAACTAATAACCAAACACAATCTGCTGGGTTAGAAATGACAGTCCCTGGTAGAAATTAGGGCTATTTTTCACAAGTTAATTACACATAGAATTAGCAAGGTCAAACTAATAATTACTGGTAGATGTGAACAGATTCAAGCAGAAAAAGCTCTGAGTACAAGAGACATGACAACACTGTTTGCTGACCGGTGAACAGTCGACAAAACAGCAAAAAACCCAACCAAGTACATTTTACATTATGTGCAGTTTTTTTCCATAATGAAGTAACGATTAATTATGTGGGAATAAAGTTTTCTTTAAACATGTTACAAACATAATGGTGATTTAAAAAAATTCTTACAAGGCATCTGCAGCTACTCTTCCCAATTACCTGTGGATGCTTCTCAACCTTTTTTACAGCCTGATCTTTTACTCCAGTCCCAAGTGAGGCTACTAAAGATCGTACCTTCTCTAGACAATTTCTGCTGGAGGTTTGGCCCATTCTTAGGTCGAATATGGCTGAATTATTTCAATAGTTCTGTTCTATTAAGTTTAAAAAGCAATAGGGAAATTTCTTAACTGCACTACTGTGTAGTATTACAAAACTAAATACCATATACATACAATTTTGGACATCTTGCAGCCCATTGTTGAAAATGCAACTTGGAAAACATGAAATTTAATGCTTTAACTGAAGCAATGTGGATTAATAGCATCCTTCATATGGAAACATGTGGCCTAACCTGTGTCTACCAAAGTAAGACATCATTATAGTTTGCATGCAAATAAATAAGTGCAGTTGAGGTATAAGAGACTTAATCAGTGTCTTGAACAGTCCTTATATACATACACACACATAAATCATGAAGTTAGTAATTGTATAGGATATTGTATGGGACCTAAATATTGTATGAGACTTAAGCTTTGTCCCAGATAATTAGGTAAATGTAAGGAAAAGAAAAAAAAGAGGAAAAAATATCCTGTCCAAGGAACATTAACAATCAGGAGGAAATTAAAGGATTTTCATGTTACAGTGATTCTTTCAGTTATCATCCTCATCATCTTCAACGGTTTCTCGTAGACCTTCGCTCAGACGACTTTTTCCAGCCATTTCTAATAAGGCCTGAGCCTCAGGATCTACATCCAGGATACTCTTCTTACCCTTTTTCTTCAAAACAAAAAAACATGAAATCAGTTTAAAATGTCATTACGAGTGAATCGATACCAGGCTACAAGAAACAGATACTCAAAAGTCTGCAAGTAATATGATTTCCTAACTTGTCACAATGAAGCATGGATACTATGTAAGTAAAGCATTTAAATTCACTGTATTACATCACATAATTTTTATTGCTGCAGTTATATAAAACAGTAATAAACTTTTCTTAAGATGACAGTGAAGGTTATTCAGGTTAGATGCCAGCCAGAACACCCTGGTTAACCTGACTTCAGTTTAAAGTGCAGATGTGAACTTTTTTTAAAGAAGAGACTGAAGTACAGTTCAACATTTTTTGTAAGGAATTTGTTCTGTTTCTATATAGAGCTAAATGTCCAGCAAACAGACAGGGCACATCAATCTAGTTTGAAACAAAATAAAAATAAAATAAGAAAACAACCAAAAGCAACACCAAACTGTGCAGACTAGACAGTTCAATAACAGAATAAATCACACAGACAGCAGAGACTAGAAAGTGGTTGCCTACTCATTCCCAGAAATAATCCAAGTGCAGAAAGACTAGCATAAATCTATTCACATGAGTTTTCTGTAAACCAATACTAAATTCGAAGTTAATAATAAACAAATCTTTTGGGCTCTCTTCCTGAACTATAGATTAGGCTTTACTAATTGTGAGCTTCCAGTGCTTGCTTTCTGGTTTACAAACAGTGGGTTTTATTGAACCTCTCCAAGGAGGTTCATACATTCCTCAATATCAGAAAGGTCTTTTGAAATTCAGAATAAAATACTGCTCTCCTGACTCTATTGCCTCATGGCTCCTGATGTTCTTTCTTGCTAGCACCCTCAGTAATTCCACCAGTGTTCTGCCATTTGCTTGCTACAAAATATATGGTACCATAAGGGCCAGTTAAAGAAAACATTATTCATTACAATAGAGAGACAGTGGTTAATCAGAAAACTGTAACAGTAAGCTTTGCACTCATATCTTCTGTTCCAATCAGGACACAATTTCACAGGTTCACCTACCCCTGCACTTTCCGGGAGATCTCCCACTGCCCAAACTTCCATGGCATCCAGTGTAAAATCCTCTTTTGCTGACAGCTGGGGACTGTTGTAGGTGGTACATCGAGGCTTTGCTTTACTGTGTCCCTTCCCATAGTCACTGTCTATCCAGAGTCCAAAGTACCCGTGTTGTCCACCCATACCCTGTGAACCAGAGCAGGACACTAAGCACTTGGTACACATGTAAACCGAACTGGACAAGTTATGAAACCTGCAGTATAAATTGCTTAATACTTACAAGTCCATTTGGCATTGTTTGTTGGCCATGGTTCAAATACATGTAGTGGTCATTATAGGCTGTGTATGTGTAAACAGCAAGAGAGGGGAAAACAGAGAACAGAAAGCACCTGTTGTCACCTGTAAACAAAAAAGCATCTATAGTCAGACAACTGGCCAAGCAATAATGTGCCTACCAATAGGGTAGGAAAAAAATATTGAAGAAGTGCAGCTGAATAAATCAAAGACAGCAGCTGCAATTTCAGAAAGCCAATACCAATCTCCCATCAAGATCTAGACCTATTGTTTATTTTCAGTTAACTCTGTGCAGGGTCACAGAAATCGATGTGATTATATGGCTGTGACCAAGGGCAGAGTCAGAGGCATGACTAGTACGTTACTTTACTGTGCAAGGGTACACCTATCAGAGGCCTGCACTCATCTAAAACTGGCCAGCTGCTAGACCTGAACAAACTGGTATGACTGCAGACTCCCTTAGTTGTGAGTATAGCGATATATAGATCGGTTTAGGGTCAATGACTTAGAGTACAATTTTCATTATGCCCAGTTTGGTATTCAGAGGGACCTGTGGTATGATTGTCTACTACACTACACGTGTTAGTCTAGCAGGAAAAGACACAAAGCAAATGTGTAAACAACATAACATAATATTGTATTAACTGACTAAAGTGGCAGTTATCAAGTACAGGAATTTAGTTTTTAATGTGGCAAAAGTAAGGATTCCCAACAAGCCAGATTACCCAGAGTCCATAATTTTCTTTTTTTTTTTTTTTTTCTGAAAGCCATCACAAAAGTTCTTTCCAAAGAGTTACAGAAAACCCCTCTCTTCTCCCCAGAGGTTTCAAGAGAACAAGAAGTTTAGCTTGTCCAAAGGATCCTTTTGCTGCTGGGAGAAGCGCACAAATGGCAACTGGAGGCTTAACCTGGCTCAGCTCTTCTGAGATGAAAGATTGCCATCTGCTGGGCATCTTACATAAACTCTAACTCATTGTCTATGTTGTGTTTCTCATTTTCATTTCATTTCCAACCTATGCAGCAACAGGGGTTGGTAAGATTTCACTTAAAAGAAAACTTGGTTTATGATCAATATCAAATAACAGACAAACATTAATCAATAATATGCCTGCCTGGGTACAAAGCAAGAATAACTTAACATGTACTTCATGTTGTTCAAAAATCAGTGTTATTCTTGCCAAAGGAAAATACACTTGGAAGTTTAAGAAATACTTCATGTCATAAAAGTAAAATAGTGTTCATTAAGTGGAGGGGATTCCTGTACCTGTACAGATTAGACAACGTTTATCAGAGCCATGAGATAATAGAAAAAGAAAAGTGTGTTTTACCTTGAAACTGTGGCTTCACCTCCCAGGAGTGAGATGCAAACCCACCAAAGATATAACCATCTAAGTCCTTTAAGATCATTAGGCAAGGACCCTTGTTCACTATATGCGCACATAACTGTGAAAAGCTTTCCCCATGAAGCCTAGAAGAAAATAAAAGCTGCCACTTGTGCTGTAGCTCTGCAGGCAAGTGGGAGTTGATGTATATGATGGATGGGATGTCAAAGAGACTGACAAATCCTCTTCCCTTGATGCCTTTGCAGCTTGGAACCAGGTTGAGTATGTCTTTGGTTTGGTCTGTGAGAGAATGCAGAACATGGAGGCCTTGCCTGGTAATAACACTGAGGAAAACTGAGATCTGGGGAACTCGGTACACCCAATCCTCAATGACACTTTGATCAAAATTTGTCTCCATCAACTGAGGACCCACAGGTTTTGTCCCATCTAAACAATAAGACACACAGGAACAATAATAAGTCTCCCAGTCTGGAAAATAATCTGTTGATTTTCAAGTGTAAACACAATACTACATTATTTTAAAGGACATGAAACCACATGTGAAAGGAGTCAGTGACAATAAAGAGTCACCTATGTTAAGCAGATGCCTCCACAGAGCTGAGAAAAAAATTGCCTGCGACATCCACTGTTTGGGCTGTCACGACTAAGAAACGTGGAGCCTAGTTACAACTTCTGAGATGTTCCTTGCAAGACAGCAAAATCAATCATTACAACAGTGCAAAGATAAAACCTATACTTTCTAAAAGGACATACAGTCATAAATACATGCATATGCATATAAATGCCTGCCACCTGCAAGTCACATATTTGCAAAATAGGTATGTTGCATGACAAGTAGTTTTGTACATCCACTTAAACTGGGACTTCAAACCAAAGCTCTCCTGAATTTCATAGAATCATAGACTAGTTAGGGTTGGAAAGGACCTTCGGATCATACAGTTCCAAACCAACTGCCATGGGCAGGGACACCTCACACTAAACCATGTCACCCAAGGGTCTGTCCAATCGGGCCCTGAACACCACCAGGGATAGAGCATTCACAGCTTCCCTGGGCAACCCATTCCAGTGTCTAACCACCCTTACAGTAAAGAACTTCTTCATTATATCCAATCTAAACTTAGAATCATAGAATCATAGAATAATTAGGGTTGGAAAGGACCTTAAGGTCATTAAGTTCCAAACCCCCTGCCATGGGCAGGGACACCTCACACTAAACCACAACACCCAAGGCCTCGTCCAACCTGGTCGTGAGCACTGCCAGGGATGGAGCATTCACAACCTCCCTGGGCAACCCATTCCAGTGCCTCACCACCCTAACAGGAAAGAATTTCCTCCTTATATCCGATCTAAAATTCCCCTGTTTTAAGTTTTAACCCATTACCCCTTGTCCTATCACTACACTCCCTAATGAAGAGTCTATCCCCAGCATCCCTATAGGCCCCCTTCAGACACTGGAAGACTGCTATGAGGTCTCCACACAGCTTCTCTTCTCCAGGCTGAACAGCCCCAGCTTTCTCAGCCGATCTTCATACGGGAGGTGCTCCAGTCCCCTGATCATTCTCGTGGTCTCCTCTGGACTTGTTCCAACAGATCCATGTCCTTTTTATGTTGAGGACACCAGAATTGCACACCTCTAGGTGTGCAAAGGGGCAGGATCACCTCCTTCGACCTGCTGGTCACGCTCCTTTTGATGCAGCCCAGGATATGGTTGGCTTTCTGGGCTGCAAGCACACACTGAAGCCGGCTCATGTTCATTTTCTCATCGACCAACACCCCCAAGTCCTTCTCCGCAGGGCTGCTCTGAATCTCTTCTCTGCCCAACCTGTAGCTGTGCCTGGCATTGCTCCGACCCAGGTGTAGGACCTTGCACTTGGCATGGTTAAACTTCATGAGGTTGGCATCAGCCCACCTCACAAGCGTGTCAAGGTCCCTCTGGATGGCATTCCTTCCCTCCAGCGTATCAACCGAACCACACAGCTTGGTGTCATCAGCAAAGTTGCTGAGGGCGCACTCAATCCCACTGTCCATGTCAGCAACAAAAATGTTGAACAAGACGGGTCCCAACACTGATCCCTGAGGGACACCGCTCGTTACTGGTCTCCAGCTGGACATTGAGCCATTGACTGCAACTCTTTGTGTGCGGCCATCCAGCCAGTTCTTTATCCACTGAGTGGTCCATTCATCAAATTGATGTCTCTCCAATTTAGAGACAAGGATGTTGTGTGGGACAGTGCCGAATGCTTTGCACAGGTCCAGGCAGATGACATCAACTGCTCTACCCCTGTCCATCAGTTCCGTAGCCCTATCACAGAAGGCCACCAAACTCGTCAGGCAGGATTTACCCTTAGTGAAGCCATGCTGGCTGTCACCAAGCACCTTGTTGATTTTCATGTGCCTTAGCATGCCTTCCAGGAGAGTCTGCTCCAAGATTTTGCCAGGCAGAGAGGTGAGACTGACTGGTCTGTAATTCCCTGGGTCATCTGTTTTCCCCTTCTTGAAAATGGGGGTTACATTTCCCTTTTTTCAGTCATCGGGAACTTCACCTGACTGCCATGATCTTTCAAATATGAAGGACAGTGGCTTAGCAACTTCATTCGCCAGCTCCTTCAGGACCCATGGATGGATTTCATCAGGTCCCATGGACTTGTGCACGTTCAGGTTCTTAAGACGGTCACGAACAAGATCCTCTCCTACAGTGGACCCAGAGTCTTCATTCTCACAGTCCCTGCTTCTGTCTTTAAATACTTGGGTGGTGTTTGTTCAATTCATTAGGGACTGTAGTGATAGGACAAGGGGTAACATGTTAAAACTTAAACAGGGGAAGTTTAGATTGGATATGAGGAGGAAGTTTTTTTACTGTGAAGGTGGTGAGGTACTGGAATGGGTTGCCCAAGGAAGCTGTGAATGCTCCATCCCTGGCGGTGTTCAGGACCAGCCTGGACAGAGACTTGGGTGACATGGTTTAGTGTGAGCCGTCCCTGCCCATGGCAGGGGGGTTGGAACTATATGATCTTAAGGTCCTTTCCAACCCTAACTATTTTATGATTCTATGAATTCAGGGGAGAAAGATGGTATGGTAAAACAAATAAAATTCTCAAGTCATTCACAAAGCAGTAGGCTTGAAACACTGGTCTCACCCTTTCATTTCAAAGATGCAACCTGAAGAGAAAAATTCTTGTAAGATCAATGAGTAGCTGAGCTCTGTGCCATTCTAGAATATACTGTATCAGTGCCACTTACCTGCAAGCTTCAATTCTGATAGCAGCTGAGAAGCCAGAGCCTTTACCCCAATTGCAGAATCCCTAGTATTCTCCAAATTCCAACCTTTCAGTTCCTTTCTGTAGCTCAGTACATGGACTACAGACATGATCAGATCCTCTGTGAACTTAAAAAGTTAAAACATCACCATTTTGGCATTTCTTAAATAAAATCACCAAGAGATTGAAAGGACTTTCTAAAAGTAAGGTCATGCAGTATTGATGTTGTAAACCCAATGGCAAAAACATCTCACAGTAAGTCAGAAATAACAGAAATGCTATTTCAGTTTCGTAAGTCTTGAAAAGTATCCTTTTTCAAGACATTCTTTAAATGTTATTTCACAAATCATCTCCATAAAATATCACATGAAAGTCCAATTTTTGCTGTGATAGGAGTGAGTTAGTTTTGCGAGATGCCACCCTTTCACCTTGCAAGCTACGTATTTGACTCACACATCTATCCTGCAACTAAAGCTCTAGAAAACACATTCTCAGTTCCCAGAAGCACCAGCCATACCATAACCCTTGCTGGCTCTTCAGTATAGGCAGTCTCAGCACTCTTTTCAAAGAGAGTTTGTGAAATATCACACAAAACAGTCAGCATATGCCACAAAATCCAGATCCTGTTTCTCAAAGTAGAAAATTCAGCATAGGAAAGCCCGCAGCTGAAACAGTCACCCCATATAACATGGTTTGCCTACACTGTTTGTCACAGATCAGCGAGTTAGTAGTATACAAAGACTAAAAAAAAAAAAAAATAAATAAATAAATACAAAAGTCAGGAACCTTGGTTTTAAATCTTGTGCATTGAAGATTACCTTCAAATTACCCACCCATTTCTGTTCTCTTAATATCCCCCTCACAACACATTAAAATGCCTGTTTACCTCTTGAATTTGCTTGCCTTTCACAGGCCCTTCTGTATTGGAGATCATTTTCATTATTATGGTAATCTTCTCATCTGCATTCCCTTTTAAGAGGTTTGACATAAAAATTACAAACTGCTCCTTAGAAATCTGTTCATTCAGCCCAGATGATTTCCCAGTTACGGCAATACTTTTCATTCCATTGTATAACCGAACAGTCATTTGCTCCGGTAATGGCTCCCGTGTATACGCCTACAATGAGAAAAACAGCAAAGAACACATTTTACAAATAAAAAATAACTCACATTTTCCAGCTAATCTATGCTGACATGTACCACTGTGAATGAAGGATTTCAATACCAAGTACCTACTACTAGCAGCAAACTTTTGTCAAAGGACTGGTTTTCCAAGAGAAAAAAAAAAAAAAAGACACCCCTATTCTTATACAGTATCACCATTTCAATAGTATTTAGTGATTTGACAATGGTTTTCTACAAAGGCCATGGACTTCAAAAAAAACCGCAACACTGTAAAGTGTTAACAGGATTTCTATATGATAACTATGTTTTAAAGGCTTACAACTCTGCCAGGCCAACATCTAAAATTTAAACTTTTGATAGTGGAGCTCAAGAATACTTAAAAGATAAAGGAAAGTTTTTTCTATATCTCAATTTGGCCTTAAGACAATGCAGGCAATGTGTTTAGCCATCATGCACACATGGAAACAATTCTGAGAAGTTTCCATCCACATAGCAACATCTAATTCAAGCACGGAACAAAACTGAGATTGCCTGATTATTATAAGGCATCCCTAATGTTAAGACAGTCAAAATCAAAACTTATTCATCTAAACTGTATAACTGGCGCTTTGAGTTGAATCTAACTGGTATACATCATGAATCACAACACTGTGGGAAAGATTTGACTGGATTCAAGAAACTTTCACAGTGGTCAAGATAATTACATGGTTTAAAAATAAATCATCTAAAATACATCCATACACTAGGACATGATTGCACAGTGTCTTCACTGCACGAAGTGCTGTGCGTAACATACCAACCTGACTTGACTCTTACGTACCAGTTGTAGCCCAGTGGGGACTACGCTGAAATCAATGGAACTCCAGCTGCATAAAGGCACTCCAGCTGCTATCACCAATCTACTGCTGTCTCAAAACCACTCCTACTGAAGCCACCGGGGCTGTTAATGGCTGGTAATGTGCATATAGACAATATTCAATATGCCAACCTCTACCCTGCTTTTCTTGACGTCAGTGGTAAAACTCCCATTGATTTAAGCAGAGGCAGAATTAACAGCCACAGTCTTGCACATTAGAGTGCTTCATATTGAGGGAGGGATAGTCACAAGGGGTACAGCTGTCTTTAAGAGGCTTTCTGAAAGTGCTATATGCGCCTGAAGTGGGACAAGCAGCAGGGAACACAAAAACCATATATTGAAGGGCTTTTTACTTCACACTGGAATAGTACCCACCTACTCCCTACCCTTTCCTACCCACCACTTTGTTGCATTGTTTTGTTATGCTTACAGCTATTACAATGAGTAGACCAGGGGTGCAAAAAAGGACTGTAAAAGTTAATCTTCAGTAAGCATCTAAAAAACACCCCTGACAGTTTAGAACCCTTGTCTGAAATGGCTTCAAGAAAGTATCTGGAGATACCTGCCCTACCTGCTTTCCAAGCTCTGCAGTGCAGCCTGCTCTAGTCCAGAATCCATGTAGTTTCCTTCTAGTAAAGCACTGAGCCTAAGCAGAGTGGTACCTACATGAGGTAATGCTTGGGGCCTCATCAATATGATCAGACTATTGCTAGATCAGCCTAGCTGAGGCATGAGCACAAACACCTCAAACAACTGCCACAATCAACCTAGCTGAGGCATGAGCAGACACACCTTTGAGGTAGGCATTCCACTGCAATAGGCCTGCACTAAGGAATGTGGTATCTACAGTCTTTCAAAAGATATTAAGTTGGCAAACAGAAAAGCAGGAAAAGAAAAATGCTCATTGAACATCATATTGATCTAGGGGCAAAACTAGAAAAGGAACTTCTTCCAGGTCCCACATAACAGACACCGAGAACCAGATTGTTGGGATGTACTAGGACTGAAAAGCTGTGCAGCAGCAACACCGCTATTTCCAAACCAGTGGTGGTCCATAAACAGCCAGGCTGGAAGAAGGCTAAAGCTAGGGTTCCTAAATATCTTAAAATAACCTGCTTCTTTCACCAAGTTTTAATTTGATTCCATTAACTGTGCAACATATATGAAAACGCACTTATACTATTACATTCATTTGGCCATTTGATTCCTGCCTAACTGAAGTTATCAAGTATTGCAACAAATCATTTTTCTCTTCCTTCTTGATTAGAAAATGAATGCAAAGTTAATCAGAAAGCATAATGTTAATCACCTAAACCAGAGAGACACAGTTTAATCAAGCAAAATTGAATTCTCTCCTTTTAATGCAAGTTAAAATATTAGAAACAGTGATGCAACAGAGGAAAACATAACCAAATACAAACCAACTATGTGACAGCTTCTCAGTAAGACTCCAGGGGGAAGAATATTAATTTTCATACATCCCAACTTACTTCAGAATCAGGAAAGCTGCAAATTGACCAAACAGTGCAATTTAAAACAATCAATACAAACACGAAAGTCACTACTCATGTTAAACTGTAAGAAAAAGTTTAATATTCATTCTGCCTCAAAACATAGTATTAAATTGAAAAAAGCAACCCTTAAAAAGTAACTATTGCCATGTCTTTAGTTCTTTCTGGAATTACGTTCAACGCAGATATATCAGGAATAATATTGTCTTGCCTGCAGTGCTGCCAGAGTCACAGTTTTCTTTGTAGCTTTGCTATTTTTTCCTTCAGCTGAACCACTCGATCCTGATATGGTGTCAAATACTCCATCAATGTCAGACTGCTCCTCAGGAAGGAATCTGGAAAGGTAATTCTGATACACGTTGCTTTCTGCATTTCCCATCTTTCCAACCTGTAGCAAAGGAATAAAAAAGCAGTAAACAGAAAGGTATCGCAATGGCCATATCGAACAGACTAACATAGCAGTGCAAGTTTTACAAGAGGAAATTACCAGCCTTCCAGAAAACTATAAACTGCTGCTTATTCTCCGCATCCACTGAGACTTAATGAACTTGAGGAACACCAGCAACTGTACTTTAACAATTTCCAATCTGCCAGCTCTTTGCTAAACCCACCCTGTTTACCAATTCAAACCTCATTCAGGTCTTATCAAATGGAAAAAACGATACGATCTAATGATTAAATTAGCTTGTAGAAATTGACCACGAGTCTGTCAACTGGAATACATCAGTAATGTGAAGGGAATAGCATGATTATGGATTATTTATGACAGGTTATGCTACATCTTTCTGATGCATTAACGGACTGAAGCTAATAAGATGTGGCACTAAAACACCATCAACTGTAAAGCCTCTAGAGATGAGATTGGAATGTTTTTTCTAAGTATGCAACACAAAACTCATTCAAAAAGCTGCCAAGAAACACCGTAATAAAAATACTCAGGCTCACGACCCATGAAAAACACACAGCTTCATAAGCAGTCAGCTGTTGAGAGCTTGCACCCACAGAATTAAGGTTGGCTGAGGTCTTGATTTGGGGGGGTGTGTTAGCTTTTAGACATTTAATGGTACAATTGTGATTTCCCTCACTGTTTCAGGACTCACCTGCATTAAGGAGACTGATTTTTTAGGATTGAAAGGGCCTGAAATCTCAAATTCCACCATTACTGTAAACTACCTTACTATCTGTCTAGGATCTTGCAGTGGCAAAATAAAAAAGATGGAGAACAGAATAAAACAGTCTTTGATGGTTTCCTTTCCATACATTCCATGTCTTTCTGGGACCTCAATTTTGGTTCAGGATTCCCAGTTCCACAGAAACCTCTTTTTGCAGGCAAGCCCATCACAGAGTCCTTCAGCAGCCTCAGAAGGGCTCTGTCCAGCCTAATCCAGTCTTTCTTTCTGTCCTTAACTGACGCTGACTTTGACAAACCACTGCACGGAGGAGGTTGGGCAGGGGCCCTTTACCTTCGCTGAACAGCACAGGCGCAAAATGCTTGTTCGCCTGCGAGGAAGATACCGATCGTGGGGTAAACACCAGTCAGTGGAGACGACTGTAACCTGGAAGACGAACCATGCACCCTTTAACTCAAGCAGCGATCCGCTGCAGAAAGGGGATCCCGGACCCCTCTCCCCGAGCCCGAGGATGCACAAGTGGGGCTGCCCCGCCGTGGCCCAGGGGCTGTCCCCGCAGCGGAGCCGAGGCCCGGTGCTCACGCACGGCGCTCCCCACACCGGAATCGGTAGAAAGCCGGGCAAAAGGCTGCGCGGTTCGCCCTTCTGCTGGTTTATTTCCCGGTACGCTTAGCTCATCCCTCCCACACGGCTGGCAGCGGGCCCGGCCTCTTCCCTCTCCCTCTCCGCCATCCCGGCGACAATGCAGAGCGGGAGTCAGGCGAGCGAGCGGCCCCCGCTCCGGAACGGAGTGAAACGGAAGGCAGGACCACCCCTCTGCTTACCGACAGCACTCCCTACCGCTCTCCACCTCCCCCTGCTCCGGGTTGGGCCTCTACCCTTTAACACACGCCCCGGCAGCCGGGGCCGGGGCGGGCCGGCGCCTGCAGGCCGCACGGCTGGGGCGGAGCGCGGTGGGGCGGGCCCTGAGCCGGTTCAGGGGGTGGTGCTGTGCGGTGCCGCTCCTCAGGAGGCGGTGACGGGGGGGACCGAGACCGGTGTTGGGAGTGGGACTGGTGAGGCTGGCACCGCGGTGCGCGGGGGAGCGGCAGCGGTGCCGGAGCCCGCTGTGGAAAGCTGTGAGGAAGTAACAGGAGCACAAAGCCGAGCTGTCGGTGCCTTCTCCCACAGACCCTTCTGCCTCGGTCCTTGTCAAAGCTGCCTCAGTACTGGTCACTAGGGCACTTTACCCCTCTCTGACAGAAGCTGCCTGGGGTGGTCATAGAACCACAAAACAGTTTGGGTTGGAAGGGACCTTCAAAGGTCACCTCCCTGAGGGGACTCTTCTCTCTGAGCAGGCTGTTATCCCTGAGGCGGCTCTTCTACCTAACGAACTCTTCTACCTGAAGAAGAGCCCTAAACCATGGGGGTTTTCACCAAAAAGAAAGTGAAAATTCAGTGTTACAAGTGGGGCAGACCAACTGACTTCTAGAGGAGAGGTCGCTGAGCCTGGAGAAAAGGCGGCCCTGGGGAGACCTTATTGAAGCCTTTCAGTTCTTAAAGGGGTCCATAAGAAGGATGGGAAAGAGCTTTTAGCAGAGCCTGTTGTGACAGGAAGAGGGGCCATGGTTTTAAACTAAAAGAGGGACATTCAAGCTGGATGTGAGGAAAAATTCTTTACACTCAGGGGGGAAAAAACACTGGCCCAGGTTGTCCAGAGAGGAGGTGGATGCCCCCCATCCCTGGAGGCATTCAAGGGCAGGCTGGAGGTGGTTCTGGGCAGCCTGATCTAGTTAAAGACGTCTCTCCTCCTTGCAGGGGGTAGGACCAGATGGGCTTTGAAGGTCTCTTCCTACCCAAACTGTTCTATATATATGTATATAATCCTATGACCACCCCCGGTGGCCCTTGTCAGAGAGAGGTAAAGTGCCCTGATGCCTGCTATTGAAGGGGCTTTGAAAAGGGGCAGAAGGGTCTGTGGCAGGAGGCATTGCCAGCACTGATTTGTGTGCAGACAGCTCCTGGCTTTTGGGAAGGAAAGAGACCTGTGTGCCTGTGTGTAATATACACACGCATGTCTCAAGGTGTGCAATCAGGCTCTGGTGAATTTCTGTGGCAATAGAGAGTGGAGAGAAAACACAAAACTTTCTCAATGAATAGTTCAAGCTTCTACCTTGTGGCTAGCAAAATCACCCTGGTCTGCAACCTGGACATGGAAAGACTGTGCAAGGGCTAAGTGGCAAATGCAATGCTATGAGGACAATGCTTAGGGACTGGCCAGAGACCACTTAGGAGAAAAATTGTAGCCTGAATGGTTGCAAAACTGGGCCCAGAACTCACCTGTTTTCAGATCAATGACCTTCCATCTGTTACATTACTTCAGCAGCACTGCCCTTGTACTTTCAGCCACAGGGTTTGTAATATATCAAGGCCTTTGCCTTCCTAGCTGTGATGCCTTGTTTGGCCTTGGTTCGTCTAACTGATTGGTTTGTCTGCAGCCAGAGATCAATGTGAAGCCTCCTTCCAGACAGCGGAAAGATGTCTGCAGATTTCTACAAAGCTGGTGTTTGCATTCCTGCAACCAGATAAGATGGAACAGGTTAGCAGCCTTGGCATTTAACTTTCAATTATAGTCTGATCAGTGTGTTGTCAACAGAAGGCATCAATGTTCCTTTATACATAAGAAAGAAAATTATCTGTACTAGCCATGGCAGAGCTCCCTTTTATTTGTCCTTTTGCACCAAGTAAAAATTGATAAAGTTAAGTTCCAAAAATACCAATTTGGGGGTTTGGGGGGGGGGGGGGGTGTTTATCTTCATGGTATGCAAAGCTTCATAAACCCCTGTAGAATATCCTTGATGCCAGCTCTGACTTAGAAACACATTGATCACAATTTCAAGACGGTCACATTTGAATAAATGGATACCGATTCAGGTTCATAATGGTCATCACTATGGTCATGGAAATTAACCAGCTTGAGTCAGCAGGATCGGGATATAAGAAGTCAAACCTGAGGAAAAGGAAATGTTCATGCAATGTGCGCACGAATTCAGCAAATCATCTGTGCTTGGGACTTATTTGTCCACACGGTGGCATTGCATGTTTAGAATGTTAGCCGGGTAGCCTGCACTGAGGTCTTCAACACTGTTCAAAGCGTGTCTAGATGCCCACATTTTCAGATTGCATGTGTGTAGAAGTAAAAGCCAATATAACAAATTAGTTTCATCCCCTTCCCATTAATTCTGCAAACATAATACAGGCCAGGAGGACAAAAATACATTCCTGGTGAAGCTCCCTCCCTGAGCCACATACGCAGGTCCTGGAAAAAGTCTGCTCTGATGGTTTGGTTTCTGTCAATAATGAATTTCCAGTTGATACCTAAGGAGAAAAAATGAAACATACAGCATAAGAATAACAGAGCTTTTGAATTCAAGTTAGCTTTTTCTTCTTTATTTTTTTTAAACGCTATTATTTCTGTGTTTCTCAATTGGAACAATTGAATGATTTTATTTTAATAGTTTTGTTTCATACTGTAGTTCTGTCTGACATCTTTTCAGCCTGGAAATACAGGACCAGAGATTCTAGTATAACTGACCTTGCACTAAGACAATCAGTGGCCATCCAGCCAGCTAAGACTGACTGACAGATGCGCTGACCAGTATTATCTTCACAAACATATGTTGACTTCATGACCTCTCTTCTCTCACTATTGAGCTCAGAACCAGTCAAATGATACCTGGCCTTCCTTAGCTCCAAGCAGGTGCTTTTGCAAAGATGTGTGCTGCTTTGTCCTCTTCCGTTCAAGTCTTGCCCATTTGTAAGAGAGGTGACTCTAGGAACTGTGGGTTTATTTGCCCTGCTTGTCAATCTAAATGGAGATTCCTGCTGCTACTGGATGGCATTTTGTCACTTGCCTGTGACACTAGGCTGTAATCTGCAGAGTAGACGTACTCTTAAAGCCACAAGACACTAAATCGCATCGATTATGCTCCTACCAGGGGGAATTTCCAGGTCACAGGCTAGTACCCTTTCATAGCCTTTTTGCACTAAAAGCATATAAAGTTATAAAGTCAAACTAGTAACCTGGTCCATAACAGTAATAATTTGCTGTAATAGCATAAGGGTAATAATTTAAAGAGAGTAATAATAACTCTCTTTAAATGACTAATGTACTTTCAGATGCTTTCGCTGAGCTAGTTAGGTGTCTCAAGTCACTTTGTTTCTGCCAGTAAGAAAGGGAGAATACACCAAGAAGCCTTTTAAGGACATTTGAGAATATACTGGTACACAAAAAAAGAGGAAGAAGACACAAGAGGGTTCTGGGAAACAATTGTGGTTAATTTTGTGAACTAGTGATAGAAGTTCACTTGTTTGCAGAGTAAAAAACAAACCCACAAACCCACAAACTGTTTTATTTAAAACACTGTATGGTTTTGACTTGCATAAAATGGAGTAGGTTTGGTTTTATCAGTTTGCCAAGACTATAGAAAATCTAAATGGCCTTAGTTCCAGGTAGTTCTAATAACACTTTCTTTCAGTTAAAGGAAATTATTACGAGGTAACAACCTAAGGTACAAATTTTGAGTTGAGCAGCTGTGGTCTTACATCAAGCATGACTATTTTACTTAGGTTATCTTTTAGTTTCTTTAAAATTATTGTTTTTTTGTATCTTGTGATAGAACAGAGGGAAATTTTGCTGCTCATTGGTCTTGTGTGCATATGTTAAGGTTGTTACCCTGTGGTGGCAGTGATGCAGTGGATCCATTTGATTCACCTTTGACAAGAAACATACTTTCACTGTGTTCTTATTAAAGGCCAGCTGAAAATAGGACCCCACTGTGTCAAACTATGCAGAGAGAGAGAGATACAGAGGAGCTCTGTTCCAAATACACCTTTGGCTAGTTCGGGTCAGGTGTCCTCTCTCTGCTTCCTCCAGCTTCTTGTGCACCTCCTCACTGGCAGAGCATGAGATGCTGAGAAGTCCTTAATCAGAGTAAGCATTAGTTAACAACAACTAAATCATTGGTGTGTCATCAGCATTGTTCTCAGGCTAAAGTTGAAACATAGCACTATACCAGCTACTAAGAAGGAGAAAAATAACTGTTACAACTGAACCCAGGACAGGGTATGTTCCCCTGTTGGGATATACTACACTTTCAGGAAGGGGGGGTTGGGAATATATTCCCAAACAAGCCATAGGGCTTTCAAATTCTCTTCCAACCTGTAGTCCAGATAGGCAGCATTTTAAGTCACATGGAGGAAATACATTTCATAATTTTAACTTCCCAATTATTACTCTGCATTTGAATTACATTATATTGCAGAACTGTTCCATGCAAAAGAGGTCAGCTTTGACCTCTTGAAAATAGTGGAATTAAATTATAAAAGAACCTTGTTCATGTTTTAGGGTCCAATGAACACAAAAGTCATTGTACCTCTTTTTAATGCCATTAGGCTCTGTTTCCTGTTTTGATGTAG